TCACCGTCCTGAAGTAGAACAGCTTGTTTTCTCCTCGTTATTGAGCCACTGCAAAGAGCCTGTCTGTCTGAGTTTGGTAACTACATTGTCTCAGATATTAAGTCTGAAATCTGGTTTCTCTACTGCTGACTCACCTTTTATTTTATTATTTTATTTTTAATATCTTTTTACTGATTTCAGAGAGGAAGGAAGAGGGAGAGAGAAATAGAAACATCCATGATGAGAGGGAATTATGGATCAGCTGCCTTCCGCAAGTCTCCCTCTGGCGATCAAGCCCACAACCCGGGCGTGTGCTCTTGACCGGAATCGAACCTGGGACCCTTCAGTTCGCAGGCCGGCGATCTATCCACTGAGCCAAACCGACTAGGGCCTGACTCACCTTTGAATCATCAAGTTGACCTTCCCTGTTTCCCTGTCTGTAAAGTGAATTTGTCTGCTTACCTGTGAGGACTTTTTCTTTTTAAAAGAAGACGATCAGGCAGACCAGTGAATAGAATTACTGGATGGTAGGTAGAATCATGGTCTCTATTAAACACTTCATAGGGGCCAGGGCCTAATCCAGAGCATGACACAAAATGCGGGAATATTTGTGGAGTAAATCAACCTCTGCCCTTGAGGCAGAACTGAAATGGCAAAATGTGGGATGATCCAAGTTTGGCTTTTCTGTTCCAAATGAAGAAACGAATCCTAGCCCATTTTATTCACTCTCCTGGCTTAGTCTGGACTGTCGTTGAGCTGACGTGTGCCGTGGAGCAGGTTTCTGAACAGGTATTCACCAGCAAGGGTTTACAAGTGAGAGTTGTCAACACTGAGTTGGAAGTCACCAAAGCAGACTCCCAGGGATCAGTATTCCCTGCCCGGATAGCCCTGAATTTAGAGATGGGTCTTGGCAGCTGGATCAGAGCTTGCCAAATATCTCTTTTCCCCTTTGCCTTCCCCAACACTTCTCTGGCCGATCTCACGTGCCAGTTGCCTCCCTCGTTAATTCACGGCTAATTCACTGAGCGGGCAGTGTGCTGAGCTACTGCTGCCAGCTTCATGCCTCTCATCCGGTTGCAGACATGGCTGCTCGGACAGGAATCGCTGCCCTGAGACTTGAACAGTCATCACCCGGGCCATTGGCTGCCATTTGGGGAACGGCTGGCTTCTTGCTATTTTTCTTCCTGCTGAAGACCTAATAGGGTTTGCTGGCCCTGGTGGCATTCGGGATCTTTCTCTTTTGTCCTCTTTGTCAGAATGATCATGGTCCATTTCCTCATTTCATATCCAGGAAGCACACTCATCGATGAGGAAATAGGTTTGTCATAGAATGCCAGATTGGGGGAGGGGGACTTTATTTGTCATTTCATAGACTGGGTGTCAAACTCTGTCTCATGGAGCAGTGGGTTGCTTGGGAAAGGGGAGAGTGGAATGAGCCAGGCTTTAGCCATCCCCCCACCCTACATCCATCAGAGCAGTCCCACTTTTGTTTTTTTTAAACAGTTTAAAAGCAAGGAAGGGCTTGAAAAGCCATTAAATGGTTGAATTCTCTTGTTTGACAGTTGGTAACAGTGAGGCTCAGAGGGAGGGATTTGCCCAGGATCACACAGCTGTTAGTAGCAAAGCCAGGTTTCCTGGCAGCCATCTTGGCATTGGATCAGCCTGGCCATGTTTGTTGAAAGTTCACTGCTAAACCGTATGTTCCTGGTCTGTCCAGTCATCGTTGTCTGGCACTCATCGGGGAGTCCTCCTGTCTTCATGTGTTATGGGCCTTTGGTTTTGTAGCTTCTCCGAGAACCTGTGTTTTCATTAATCCTGTCAGCAGACATTTGTGAGCTCCTGGAATGTGCCAGGCACAGTGCCAGTCAGTCCCTGGGCAGACAGCGTTAAATAGGGCAGGTCCCAAATTAGAGCTGTGAGGAGGGCTGGGGAGAAGTCCACAGGAATTGAGTCACGTGTCGGGAGGCCTCTGCCATCTGGGTCCAGAGAAGGCCCCCCTGGGGCGGCCGTGTTGAGCTGAGACTGAAGGGTGAGCGCGGGGGAGGAACAGGATTGTGGGTAGAAGTTCCATGGTTTTCTAAGCGGTGTTGTCATTAAGAGAAGTGACACAGGCACGGCACACAACATCCCCAAGATATAAAAAGATGAATGATGGAAGGTCAGTCTCACTCATCCCCTGGTAATCCAGCTTCCTTTCTGGAGGAAATCACCGTTAACATCTCTTATCCACCCTTTCAAGGAAAGTCAATGCATTTGTAAGCGTGGTATTTATATTTTTCTTTTTTTACAGGAATGGTAGTAAACTGTACTTTTTTAAAAATATATTTTATTGATTTTATGCAGAGAAGGGAGAGAGATAGTTAGAAACATCGATGAGAGAGAGTCATCGATCAGCTGGCCTCTTGCACACCCCGTACTGGGGATATGCCCGCAACCAAGGTACATGCCCTTGACCGGAATTGAACCCGGGACCTTTCAGTCCCCAAGCCGATGCTCTATCCATTGAGCCAAACCGGTTTTCGGCATATACTTTTTTTTTTTTTTTTTTTTTTTAATATATTTTATTGATTTTTTTTACAGAGAGGAGGAGAGAGTGATAGAGAGCTAGAAGCGTCGATGAGAGAAACATCGCCCAGCTGCCTCTTGCACACCCCCTACTGGGGATGTGCCCACAACCAATGTACATGCCCTTGACCGGAATCGAACCTGGGACCTTTCAGTCCCAAGACCGACGCTCTACCCCTGAGCCAAACTGGTTTCGGCTAAACTATACTTTTTTTAAAAAAAAGGTGTTTTCTTTGATTTCAAAATCCACATTTTTAACCGGTATGCAGATGCTGTTAACCAGTTATAATTTCGGATTTTTTAACCAAAGAAAATAAGATAATTGAAGGGAAACATCAAAAGTGCTTTATTCATAGTCCTGTCCATCACTAGCTACACATTTCCCCCATCTTTCAGGTCATCTGTCCCAATAGAACTTTGCATGTTCAGAGACCCCATTCTCCACTTCTTCGTACGTTTTGAAGTGCTGTGCATGTGCCATCGATGGGAACAAGTGGCCATCTGAAGGAGCGATACAACAAAATAGCATCAAGAAACACAATTTCCATCACCCTTAGAGTTCTTTCGTGACCCCTTCAAGCCAGTCCTTCCTCTTACCTCGGACTGTGCCAGCCCTTTGAGCGATTCCTTGGCCTGGAAATGCTGCCATTGAGGGCGTCCCGGCCCAGAATGCTGTCCTAGCAAAAGTGACTCATCTCACGAACCAAAAGTTCCCTCCGATGACTGCTCTTTTGAATGCGCCCCCACCGCTTGCAAAGATGGAATCCAGACCCCAAGCTTTCTCTGGCCTCAGTGGCTGCCTGCTTTCAGCTGTGGCTCCTGAGACAGATTCATCAGAGAACACGGCCTCCGCCCCTTTGGCCTCACTGACGTGTGGTGACAGCTGAGCGGTGCCAGCGGTCTTTCTGTGGCATCTGCAAGTCTGAGCTCCTTTAGGACTGACCTGGAGGGTTTTTCCGTTCCTGCGGAGAGAAGGAAAAATCTCTCCTGCACTGACATTCAAGAGGCAACTGCAGTGTAAGGTCACAGCGAGAGAGCCGCCCTCCACAGACCCTTGCAAACGCATTTCCATCTCTCCCCCTCTCCCCTTCCTCCTCTGCTTTAATTTCCTGTGTATAAAACAACCTCAGAGGGATACAGTTTCTGCATCACCGGTCCCACCGGGCCCTCTGCAGAGGGATATGCGAAATGGATACTGCAGGGAAGTGGCAGGCAGTACCCCGGGTGGCAGTTGGAGTTTGGGAGTGCGTGGTTGCTTAGCACCTGTAAAAGGAAATGTCATCAAAAGCTCAGCGCTGAAGGGCGCCAGCAGCTGTGGCCGTGTGACCTGACCGACCCCGAAACTCTGCTGCTTTGTTTAACGCCCCCAATTTCCCACCCTCTCCTCCGCCTGGGCTCAGCACCAGGAGGTTATGGTCCGGGAACTTAATGCTCCAGATACCGTGCTGAGCTGCAGATCAGGGGGCGCCCCTCCCAGTCCTCTCCGCTGGAGAAGGAAGGGTTTCTGGACCGTGTCAGTTAGACCTCTAAGGTAGTCTTTGCCTTGTTCACTTTGACTTCCTTCCAGATTTACCATGGGGGGGGCGGCGCGCGGGGGGGTTGTCTCTTACTTTCTGTGATTCTTTTGGCCTGTGGTTTTTAGCCCCGTTTGCCTTCATTGATTCCTCTTAGGCTAAACTTCACCTTGAGTTAAGCAGGGTACTCTCCTGTTCTGGATGCCCCTGCCAGGTGTGCTTTCCAGCCTGACTTCTGAAGCCATGCAGCCCTTTCCTGGGTGGCAGATACCCCGTTGTCTTGTCTAGTTTATCCGCTCATTCTCAGAACTCCGGGAAGAATCTCTGAGGCTTCTCTGAGGAAACGGCTTTGTGTGCGCTCACGTCTGCAGGTCCTTTCAGAGACTTTAGCCAACCCCTCCTGGATGAGCATTTAAGGTCCCTCCAGTGGCGCATTGCTGTGGACGGTGCTGTAGTGAAAACCCTTATGTCCTGTGTAAACATTTCTTTAGAAGTAGAATTGGGTCAAAGGGCATGCACCTTCAAAAATGTGCGAGGTCCTTCAGAACTACCCTCTGAAACCTGACCAGCCATAACCTAATAGCTCTTTCGTCCAGTAAAGAGATCAGAAGCCATCTTTAGGGGGTAGGGGGAGGCTAAAAAGGATATAAGGGGATAAATGGTGATGGAAGGATACTTGACTCGGGGTGGTGAACACACTGTAATATTCAGATAATGTAACCTAGACTTGTGCACCTGAAACATGTAATCTTATTAACCATTGTCACCCAATAAGTTAAGTTAAAAAGAAAAAGAGCTATCTTCCCGTACGGCCGGCCGTGTGCTGGGTCTTCCTCCTCCTCCTCCTCCTCCTGGGCTCTGGAACTGGAAATGGATGGAACACGGTGGGTAGTCACCCCTCTCTTCTGTCTTGCAGTGTCTGGCCACAGATAAGGGACCAAAATGACCGACTCAAAGTATTTCACCACAACTAAAAAAGGTACCGTCTGTTTCCTGTGGGCTCTGTCCTCCTCTGTCCCTGCCCAGCTCTTCTGCTTGTTCCCTGCAGGGATGCTGGGCAGGGGGGCGGGGAAGGGGGAGGAGGGGAGGCATGGGGGCATGAGGGGGGAGATGGGGGGGGTGGTAGTGGGTGTGGAGGCCTGGAATCCAGTGGTGGGAATCTTCCAGAGCCTCTTAACCCTGTGGCTCCAGAAAATTCAACGGTTGATGTTGTAAGAAATTGACCTCTTTTTTTAGAATTCAAGAAAGGAAGAATATCAGCTCTAAATGTAGAAAAAAAAAAGCCCTATTTCCCCCGTGGCTTAAAATTGTTAAATGTGATTTATTTTTTTCTTGGAATAAAGGAAGCACACGATGCTATCCGAAGCCTCACAGCATGTGTGTGTGTCTGGTCCCTACCCTTGGGCACATGTTGTAATGGGTTGAAGTCAGAGTTTATATCCTGTTTTTCATTTGACATTATCATAAACATTTCCCCACAGGCCTGACGACTCAGTCTCAGTCTGTTGAGTGGCTGCACTGAAATTTGCTAAGCTTGTCTTATATTGTTGCATAGTGTGGTTATTTCTGCTTTTCGGGAAATGGAAGCTGATAAATACGCTTTGACCCTGTAAGCATCTCCTGTCCGGCTCTTCCTTCCTTCCTTCCTTCCTTCTTTCCGAGTAGATGGACACTGGCCTGCTGACCAGACGAAGAGGGTCTGTTGTTGGGTCAGCTGAGCCAGGACCCGAAGTCTGCCCTCCTCTGCATTTCACATACTGGTCCAGCCACGTTTTACTGAACACTTCCCATGTGCCGCAGAGTAGACAGTCCCTAAACGGCGTTCTTTGGGTTGAGCAGGGCAAACAGTTTATTAAGTATAATTACCGTGAAGGGCTGGTGGGTGCTGTGATAAGGGGAGTGTTGGAGGCTGTGGGAGGGCCCTGGGTGGACCTCGCTTGATAAAGGGGGTGTGGGCTGGGGAGCGGAGCTCAGCAAGGGCTGTGCCCATGGGACATTCAGGGAGAGGAAAGCGGGTGGGCACAAGTTACTGAAGAGCGTGGTGGGGGGTTAGGAAGGCGTGCAGGGGTCTGTCATGTGTGGCCTGGGGGGCTGGCTGGAGGGGGTGAACTTAGTGCTGAGTGTGTTGGGGTGTCAGTAGTGATTTTTAAAAAAAATATATTTTATTGATTTTTTACAGAGAGGAAGAGAGAGGGATAGAGAGCTAGAAACATCGATGAGAGAGAATCATCGATCAGTTGCCCACTGGGGATGTGCCCGCAACCAAGATACATGCCCCTGACCGGAATCGAACCTGGGACCCTTCAGTCCGCAGGCCGACGCTCTATCCACTGAGCCAAACCGGTTTCGGCAGTGGTGTATTTTTGTGTAAGGGTTTTCTTTTGAGGACAATGTCTGTAGAGCGATGCCTGGATCCAAATTTGACATCAGTGATGGTTTTAAGCAAGGGAAGGTCCAAGGCAGAGTCTGATAAAAGAGTGAAGCTTGGTGGACCGGTACCGCAGCTCTGAAGCCTGAGCTAGGTGGTGGTAGGGGGGTGGCAGGGGGGTAGACAGAATCGGTGGCCTCATATGTGATTGAGGCGGCAGGCTTGGTCACTGAGGAAGGAGATGTTCAGACGCAGGCAGATCCCAAGCTCACCTCATCAGCCTTCTTAGAGCCAAGGTGACCGGGCCTGGATCCATCGATGGACGGCCAGCCAAAGGTTTCAACAGAGTAGGGCAGCGCTGCCGCAGCGCCCAGGGTCAAAGTCACCATGGTCTGTTTGGCTTCAGTCTCTCGGAGGAGAAGGGTGTGGGTTCCTTCGGCCTAAGAGCCATGGATTGAACTGCCAGGCCGGCAGATTCCTCCCGCCTGTTGAGCAATGCCCTCAGTGTGGCCTGGCCCAGGGCTGTGCTGTGCGTCTGGTCTTGAGTAACCTTGTTTGCGAGTTCTGTGATAAACACCATGTTAATTCAGTCCCGATGAGAACCTGCTAAGTTTTCTTTTTCTCGCTGTAAATCCACCTGGAGCTTCCTCAGCTCTTGCGTCCCACTTAATAGTCTGCTTCACCTCCTCCCCAGCTAACTGAGAGGGACTAATGCTTTTCTTTCTTCAAAAGAGAAAGCCGAGACAGAGGGTCATGTGATAAATTAATCATAATCAGTAGCGACCTCCCTTAGCGCAGGCCACCGAGTGCCACACACTGAGACGAGTGATTCACATCTGTGGTAAGTGAGAAAGTTCAGTGCTCCGGTCAAGGCAGAGAGTACAGACGAGAAAACAGGTCCCGAGAAGCAGAGGGAGTGGCCGGGAGCTAGCAGAGCTGGCTTTGAATCTTGGCCCTACCTCTTAGTTGGTGTGTGTCCTTGGGCAAGTTACTAGATTTCTTGCAGCCTTTGTTTGCCCATCTGTAAAATGGGGTGAACGCAGAGGTGTTGTAAGGACGACATGAGAGAAAGTGTGGGAAGAGGTTAGTGTGGCATTGGCTTAGTGCCAGGCTCGGGAACTGCCGGTGGCTGTTGTTTTGAGAGCCCCTCACTCCAAAGTCGGCCCTCTTAGCCGTTTACCAGGGGTCATCAGGGTTCTGGCTACCTCTGCACGACAAGGCCCCAAACAGCCCTACTTCCTCGTTTGCTTTTTCCAGATCATCAAGTTCTTAAGACAGCTTATTGCGTGTTAGATAGAGCAGCTGAATTCCCATTTTCGGAGCTGAGCAACCGCTGTGGCACAGGAAGTGAAACCCTGAGCGAGCTGTTTTAGCTGGCGGTTCTAGGAAAGCAGGAAAAGCGAGTGTGGGGAACAAGCCAACCCTACCCTCTCCCCTCAGACCTTAAGTCCCCAGATCCCTTTACACACTGCCTGAGGGCTTTGGGTAAGGGTGGCTAAGGACTGTGCTTCCCTTGTGTGTCTCTAGGTGAGCAGGATCTGCCTTCCTGCCTTTTGCATCCCTCCGAACCCTGTAGCATTCACAGTTCCTCTCTCCTCAACCCAGTGTGACCTCCAAGCTTTCCTCTTGACAATTCCTCTCCTAACAGCTGTCCCTCTGCTGCCTGCCCCACCTGAGGCCAGGGGCCTCACACTGCCCTCGCTGCAGCCTGGAGTGTCTGCCTGCCTCCCCCTCTGTCTTTTGGAAGACCGGGGTGGGGGGATTGGGAATCGCCCTCTGGCCGGTGGGAACGGATCTCATGCCTGCCTCCTCTTTCAGGGGAGATCTTCGAGCTGAAGGCAGAGCTCAACAGCGACAAGAAGGAGAAGAAGAAGGAGGCGGTGAAGAAAGTGATTGCGTCCATGACAGTGGGCAAGGATGTCAGGTGTGCGGGAGGAGGCCGAGTGGCAGCGGGTCCGGTTCAGACCTCCCCGTCAGGGCTTCCCGAGGGACCCACGTCTCCCCTCACCCAGCTCCCTTCATGCGCCTCCTTCTGAACAGAAGGGTTCGTGGTCTCCGATGTTGGTGGGGTCAGGCAGTAATGCAGGGAGTGAAGTGGACGAGGTGAAAGGCGATAGGCGATGAAGTGGAGGTGGCACGCGCCCTGTCAGAAGCCCCGGAGGACTGCTGAGCTGGGAAAATGAACCAGTGCAGCAGGGCTTCTGGTTTCTCAAAAGAAGGGAAAGTTGGATTTTTCATTCGAAATCTCCCTGCTTCGGATTGCCAGGTTGTATTACACAAAGAAATGAACACTGCCCACGTAAATCACACCTGCAGGTGGAGTTTGTTGGCTTTGGCGCCAGTGCACAGCCTCTGGCTTGCAGCTGATGGCCTGGGCGGTCATGTGGAATTGCTGACACACCTTTGTTCACGCTTTTCTCCTGCCTGGCAGGGCCCTTCCCCCTTTCCCATGTACCCAGCTTGTCTTTCCATCTTTTAAAACCCATTCAGTGTCTCCCTGCTGCCTCCCTCCTCACCCCAGCCCACCGCCCTGAACATAGCCCTCCTACTCACTGTCTCCCCGCACCCCATCCCCATTAGCTGCCTGGAAAATCTTCCTTTCTTTCTTTCTTCGGCCTTCCCCCAACTGATGCCATTTTGACCTTCTAGCGCCCTCTTCCCTGATGTGGTAAACTGTATGCAGACGGACAACCTGGAGCTGAAGAAGCTGGTGTACCTGTACTTGATGAATTATGCCAAGAGTCAGCCTGACATGGCCATCATGGCTGTCAACACCTTTGTGAAGGTGAGCAGGAGCTTGGTGAGAGAGGGCATGGGTGCTCACTGTGCCATGTCTCCTTGGGTGAGGTGCTACGGCCCCGAGCACAAAACTCGGGCTCCTTTCCAGACCCCGACTCCCAGCCAAGGGCTCCATCCTCCAGCAGAGGGCTCCCGCTCCCCAGCAAACCGGAGGGTGTGGGCCCTGCTACTCATTCCATGGGAAGTTGCTTGAGGCTTGTGGATCCCTGGGAGCCGCAGGGGCGGGATTCAGCAAGTGTCTGCGAGCTTTTATGTTTCCCTCTGGACTTTGCTCCTTTCTGCATCGTCTGTCCTCCAGATGGAGGAGCAAGCAGGCACCTGAATTGTCAGCTCTGTGCCCTTAGCTCCCCTATCCCTATGGATGCCCACATAGGGGCAAATGAAGGGTTCTGCGGCCCAGTGGAAAGACTGAAGGTTGTGGTGCTGGGTGGATGTGGGTTTGAATCACAGCTCCACTCTGTGCTTGGGAGAGCCTGCAACCTTCCTGAGAGGTTCGCTCCTTCACCTGTCAAACGGGAAGAGTATTATATGGCTGCTGTGAGGATCAGAGGTGACCAGCACAGAGGCCCAGCACAGTGTCTGGCATATGCTAGACGCCCGTACATGGCACTTACGATGCTATTGGCTGCGATTGGCGGGAGATCCCACAGCTCAGCTCACTTCTGCCCCCCGCCAATGGCTGCTCCCTCTCAGGACTGTGAGGACCCCAACCCCCTGATCCGCGCCCTGGCCGTGCGGACCATGGGCTGCATCCGCGTTGACAAGATCACCGAGTACCTGTGCGAGCCACTCCGGAAGTGCCTGAAGGACGAGGACCCGTATGTTCGCAAGACAGCGGCCGTGTGTGTGGCCAAGCTCCACGATATCAACGCCCAGCTGGTGGAGGACCAGGGCTTCTTGGACACGCTTAAAGACCTCATCTCCGACTCAAACCCCATGGTGAGCTGCTCCGTCCACTCTGCCAGTCCACCCACCAGACAGTCCCCAGTTGCCGGGTGGGGTAATGGTTTTCGCGCCTGCAGTGGTTGGGTACCTCCTTTGGCATGAACTAGACTGGATTCCCTTCTTTGCGCTCTCTACCAAGCTGTGTGACGTTGGGCCGGCTGCCTGACCTTCCAGAGCCTTCTTCATCAGTAAGATGGCTCTCATTCTGCATGGCTGGCAGGAGTGCTGTGGCGCTTAGGCTATAAAGGTAATGGGTCTAGGGCAGCCTGGCACTCGGTGGGCGTGCAGCCAAGATGAGTGCCCTCCTTCCAGGCGCTGTCACTGTCCCGTCTTCTCACCAAAACCATCGGTGAGCTGGCGTGTGAGGCGCTCTTCCCTGTGCCCACACGAGGGCCCCCTGCGAGCAGCACAGCCTGGACTACAGGCGCCGGGCGTGGCTGGGAGTGGACGCATCTCCTCACTCAGGGCGGTGGAGCAGTTCAGAGGGCAGTGCTCAGGCCCTCAGCCCAGCCAGCAACTCTGTTTCCTATAGAATCACTGACCACACCCAGCGCTGAGCGGCCCGTTCAGGGGTGGCCACTGCAGCACTGTCATGGGGAAAGTTAAAAACCTGCAGAACACACAAAAACAGCTGCTCTGCCGAGGCCGGTTTAGCTCAGTGGCAGAGCGTCGGTCTGTGGACTGAAAGGTCCCAGGTTCGATTCCGGTCAAGGGCGTGTACCTTGGTTGCGAGCACCCCCGTTGGGGGTGTGCAGGAGGCAGCTGGTCGATGTTTCTCTCTTATCGACGTTTCTAGCTCTCTATCTCTCTCCCTTCCTCTTTGTAAAAAATCAATAAAATATATTTTAAAAAAGGAAAAAAGAAAATGGGCCCCTCTGTGCTCCAGACCTCAGGTGTTCCCTGCAGCTCCGGCGGCTCTGCAGGGACCTTCGGGCTCAGAGCGCTGTTGACAGCCCTGACTGGGCCGTGGTAGCTGGTAGATGGGCTGTGTGTTCGGTGGCTGGGCATGCTTTCCGTGGCCAGACCTGGAGCTGGGTCTTTCCTTTTCTTCTCTTCTTTTTCCTGAATGGCAAGTGCACTCACTCTAGTGCCAGTTTACAGAGGCGCCAGGAGGGTGAGTGCTTAGCATGGGTCTCTGTGCTCCTGCCCTTCGGGTAATTTTTTTCCAGGCTATTCGACCTCTGATTGACATGCATCATTAGCTCCACTGCCCCCTGGCCTGGGAGCAGGGCCCTCAGCCTCTGCCCCTTCCACCTTCTCTCCAGGTGGTAGCAAACGCAGTAGCTGCCCTCTCGGAGATTGCCGAGTCTCACCCCAGCAGCAACCTCCTCGACCTGAACCCTCAGTCCATTAACAAGCTGCTGACAGCCCTGAACGAGTGCACCGAATGGGGCCAGATCTTCATCCTGGACTGCCTGGCCAACTACACGCCCAAGGACGACCGAGAGGCCCAGAGGTGAGCAAGCCGCCCCTTGCCTGCCAGCCCAGCTGGAGCTGGTCCGAGGAGGCTGGGGGGAGGGGGAGGAGGGTGCTGTAATCATGAGCTGTCCTGAAGCCTCCAGAAGGCTCCTTCCCAGGGCCTTGCCCACAGACCTTCCTCAGACATCCTGAGGGAGGGCAGAGCCAGGCAGTCAGCTCACTGCTCACGGTGGGCAAAGACAGAAGCCAGGACCTGACCTGGGAGCTGACAGAAACCCTGGTCACCTCGGGCTGAGAGAAGCAGGTGGACAGCATCAGAGCCACCGTTCACTGAATTCTCACTGGGTACCTGGGCCTCCGCTGGTGCCTCCCATGCATTTGATGTCCCTTAAAGCAACCCTGGAAAGTCAGTCCCATTATTGTTCCCTTTTTACAAGTGAGGAAAGTCCCCTTGGAGAGATGGAGGGAGCTGTGCAGGTGACCCTTGGTCCTAACACCGTGATATTCTGCCACTTTGAATGTCCTCAGGGCGGGGCGGCGGGGGGGAGGGGTGTTGGCATTTATCAGGTATTTGCTACATGCCTGGCATCCTCTGGAGCTTTTCACACATTGTCTCATGTTGGCGCTGTGAAGTCGGCATCATCATCTCCGTTTCCTAGGGGAGAAAACTGGGGCTGACTTAGAATGGTTTTCATACACTCGGGGGCAGTTTACACGCAGCAAAACCAAGACCTAGACCTCCCACTGAAACAGAAGTGCTGTCTCGATAACTAAAACCAGGGTGTTGCCTCTGTCTGTCTCCTCCTTATCCCCTTGGAACGGACCTCAGTATCTGTGAGCGGGTCACCCCGCGGCTCTCCCACGCCAACTCTGCCGTGGTGCTGTCCGCCGTGAAGGTGCTGATGAAGTTCATGGAGATGCTGTCCAAGGACCTGGACTACTACGGCACGCTGCTCAAGAAGCTGGCCCCGCCCCTGGTCACGCTGCTGTCCGCTGAGCCCGAGCTGCAGTACGTGGCCCTGCGCAACATCAACCTCATCGTACAGAAAAGGTACCGGGCCGCCGCACACGGACAGCGTGTCCTCCGGGGGTGCCGCTGGGAACGGGGCTGCACAGGGAAATGGACCGCTCAGGAGGTCCTCAGCCAGGGACGCCTCTGTCCCCCCGAGACGTGGCAGCGTCTGGAGACGTTTTTGGTTGTCACAGCTGGAGCTTACTGGTATCTGGTGGGTAGAGGCCAGGGATGCTGCTTAACACCCTGCGGTGCATAGGATAGAGAACTGCTTAGTCCGGAATGTCAGCAGTGCTGGGCTGAGAAACCCTGGCTAAGCTTAACCAGGAAGCAGGCCAGGTAAAGGCTTGCATGGAGCTGCTGCTTTTTTTAAAATATATATAATATATATTTTTTAAAAAAAATTTTTATTGATTTCAGAGAGAGGAAGAAAGAGGGAAAGAAGGATGGAAACATCAATGATGAGAAATAATCATTGATTGGCTGCCTCCTGCGCACCCCCTCCTGGGGATTGGAAACAGGCTGCACAGCATTCTGAGCAACCGCAGGGCATGTGCTCTTGATTGGGAATCGAACTGTGATCTCCTGGTTCATAGATCGATGCTCAACCACTGAGCCACACCAGCCGGGCTAGCTTGGAGTTTCTTACCCACAGACAGTGGATTGCTCCACAGTCCGAAGAACTCTCTGGAAATGGGGAGTGCGAGTGTGTGTGTGTGTGTGTGTGTGTGTATACATTTTTCCTGGAGAAAGAGTCTGTAGCGCTAGTCAAATCCTAGAAGTCAAAGGACTCCAGGAGGTGAGGCCTGGTGTGGACTTTGCAGCAGCCTCGGGGCCAGGGGTATGTCAGAATCGCTCAGAAAGCCTGTTCCGTCTGCCCATGGAGACAGTTGATCCTGTGAGGGAGAGCGCCTGCTGCCCGCAGTGGGCGGGGCTGAGAGCAATCAGGAGTGCCACAGTAAGGGCCCAGAGCAGGAGGAATGCTCTGGAATGACCCAGTGAGGGAGCCCAGCAGCTCTGCAGAGTAGAGCTGGACTCTGGAGTTTTACCAGCCTTTTTGGCCAAACGGTCTTTTCAGCAGCTAACTCATGATCCTTGTGTGTTACAGTAGCCCCGTTGGTGGGCGTCAGGCCATGCGAACAGGGGTCTCGTAGGCATTCTCTCGGAAGACAGCACCCGCTCCTTGTCATTGTAGCATCAGTCTGGTTCTTAGGCCATTCTGGGGGGCCCAGAGATACCAGTGGTTGGGACATGTGTGCAGGTTTGGGAATTAAACATGGGAAAGCTGTGTGCGTGCCTAGACAAAGGGGTGAGACAGGGAGTCGCAGCTGCGGGCTGGGATTAGTGAGGCGCAGCGACTTAGGGATCCTGATCAGTGGGAAGGCTCCCGGGCTATATTTAACGTGGCACATCTCCTAAGATGTGCTTTTGCCAAGGCACCACCAGGCTCAGTCCTGACAAGTGGCTGGGCAGCTTTGCCAAGTCCCGCCTGCAGAAATCACGTCCTCCTGCCGCCCCCACAGGCACCATGGAGGCGCTTTGCTTTGCCAGGACACCTCCCTGCAGCTCGCACAGCCGCACAGAGCACCCAGGGTCCCTCCTTTCTTCTCTGCTGTGTCCTCTCCCTTCATCCTCTGCCCTTATTCCTTTGCCTTCCTCCTTTCTGTTCTGGAAAAGGCATGAGAGTAAGAGTTGAAGGTGGTGACTGTTCTCATCCTTGTTAGCATGAAGTGTGTAACCTGGTGCACACCTCTCCACCTTCCCTCATCTGAAAAAATGTGGGTGGTGCCAGAGGAGCGGTGACACTGGTAATGGCTCCTTGTAGCCAGTGCCTCTGAGGCAGGCTATTGATCATCTCGATGCTTCACAGCAGCCCTGCTGTGCAGAATCTGTGTTGGGGTCCCAGGACCACCCCGATTCAGAGATGCACTAGGACTCAGGGGAGTCAGCATGCAGTTGTCCTCCCGGCTGAGATCTGGTATTGATGGAGTGAGGTCACCTAGCTGGGTCCGGGCGGGATCTGGAGGAGTCCAGTCCATGTACAGGCTTCCTTATGTTCCCGCCTTCCATGGGAAGAGTCACATGGAGCACACGCCTCCCTCAGCAACAGGTTGCAGCAGGAAAGCAGGTGGTTAGTGTAGAACATACTGTTTATACAAACAGCCAATCACCTTTATCACTGAGGGGATGGTGAGAACACCCCCAAAAGCAGAGTTCCTGGCTCCGAGACTTTTTAAGGCGAGAGACTCGGGTCGGCAATGGTGCCGCTTTCCGGCACAGGGTCATGCTGGTTACCTGGGTGAGGTAGTGGGCGCCTGAGTCACAGGCTGGGATGGTACCGAGGCCTGGTCCCCAGGCCCAGCGCCTGCTGCCTGCTGCCTGCTGCCTCTCAAATGCAAACATGTCTCTTGCTCATATTCCCTCTTCCTCCCTGGCTGTGGTTAGACATGCAGTGACCAGTCACAGCTTTGCTCAAGCCAGTCTGTAGGCCTCTCTCTGCCCAGGAGTGTGCAGCCATGGTGGCGACCGCCTTCATGGATGCCAGGCTTCGCCTCACACCCCAGAAATGTGCCCACAAACGTGAAGAGGCTTCCTCAGGGCTGATGACTTGCTTGTTGCTCCCTGCCGCCAGGCCCGAGATCCTGAAGCACGAGATGAAAGTGTTTTTTGTGAAGTACAACGACCCCATCTACGTGAAGCTGGAGAAGCTGGACATCATGATCCGCCTGGCCTCCCAGGCCAACATCGCCCAGGTCAGCAGAGGGTGGTGGCTGGGTGTGGGCGTTGGTGTGGACAGCAGTACTGCCCACGAGCTGTGGTCTCTGGGCAGGCTGCCTGGTCTCACTGGTAACAGCTTATCCGTGAAGAGTGCTTAGCACAGGGCATGGAGTTTGGTAAACAAGCATGAAACAAATGTTGTGATAAAGAATTTGTTCTCCCCGTTATTACTTGTCCATCCATTGAAAAGCGATAGTTAGGTGGATGTGTTCACTAGATCAACCTAAACAAGGGCTGTCCAGCCCTACCGATTAGTCCTTCCCTGCTCTCTCGGAGCACCTGACAGCTTTCTCCCTCCCTCGGGCTTCCACCTCCAGCAGGAGGCAGGATCTTATCCTCCTGGGGGCCTGTGCAGCCCCACTGCCCAGTAGTGTTCCAGCTGGTTGCCCCACCGGATCCTCTCCAATCCCGTCTTCTCTTTTCCGGCCACAGGTCTTGGCAGAGCTTAAAGAGTATGCGACAGAGGTGGACGTAGACTTCGTACGGAAGGCCGTGCGAGCCATTGGCCGCTGCGCCATCAAGGTGGAGGTGAGGCTGGGACTCTGTCTTCAGCTGGGGCGGGGGAGGGGAAGGTAGCTGAAAGCAGGAGACCAGTGTGATTATAGCAGAATCGCCAGCTGCTTGTGGTCCAGGAGGCCTGCGAGTCACTGCCAGAGCCCCCAAGGCGCCATGGTGCAGATCTGGTCGCGCTCATTCTCACTGTAATCTCCTTGAGGCCTCTGAGTTGTCGCAAATGAAACGGACCCATGACATGGATTCTCCTGCATCTTAGCTAAGCGCAGGGGGCAGCCCCAGCTGGGATGGCCCTGGTAGACTTAACTGTCACCTCATGGCGCTCTGGGCCAGGGGCGGTGCCTGTCAAAGGTTCTGGCAAGGGCCATGATTCAGCCCATCGTGTGCCCCCTTCTCCACCTCCCAAGGGCTCTGCAGAAGCCCGTGTCCTGGCGTTTCATCCACCCATTCTCTGCCTGAGGAGCTGCTCCTTCACCACCGAGCTGACTCCTTGAATGGGTCCACTGGGGGCTCGGGGATCCTAGGCCAGCTGGTCACCCCAGGCACTTATGGCATTTTCCCATTGGCACTATGGCGGCCTCCTGAGGAAACTCTCACGGGGGCATCAGCGCAGCATGCTGGCATGGGGCGGGGGCGGGGGGAGGGAGTGTCTACACAGAGCTTTTCTAGGCGTTTTTGGTCGCAGGAGACCGTCTGGGGAAAGGAGGAGAGTGAGGTGAGGAGAGGTGAGGTCAGGCTGGCGCATGCTCACTCTGCCCTCAGGGCTTGCCTGGAGGAGCTCCAAGGACTCTCCCACTCTCAGAAGCTCCACTGGCCTCTCCTCAGTCTAATTCTGTCCCCTATGCCCTGCGTCCCGAAGCATCTCTGTCCTGTGCTCGCGCTGTGACAGGAAGTGGCCAAGGCCCGGTGGTTAGAAGTCCTATTGGGAATGGGTGCAGGGGCCTCATCCACACTCTCCTCTTCCCACCAGCAATCTGCGGAGCGCTGTGTGAGCACGCTGCTCGATCTCATCCAGACCAAGGTGAACTACGTGGTCCAGGAAGCCATCGTGGTCATCAAGGACATCTTCCGCAAATACCCCAACAAGTAAGTGCCTGCCCCTCCCAGGGAGGCTGCGGCTCTGGGGGAAGGAAAAGCAGGAGGGGCCCCTCCCCTCCTCCTCACTCCTGGGCCACAGACCACATCCTCAAAAGAAACCCACCCTTGGTTTCTCCTTATTTCTCCTTTGCTGCCCCTTCTCCGCTCCCCAGACCCAAATAAGAACTAAAATGTAACAGATGAAGCTCACATCCCTTTACTCACCTCTCGGGGCATCTGCTTGTCTCTCTTGGCCCCTGCTGGGCCTCCCCTGCGCTGCCCGGGCTGCCTCAGTGCTGACTGTGTGCTGGTCTCCAGGTACGAGAGCGTGATCGCCACCCTGTGCGAGAACCTGGACTCCCTGGATGAGCCCGAGGCCCGGGCTGCCATGATCTGGATCGTGGGCGAGTATGCCGAGCGGATTGACAATGCGGACGAGCTGCTGGAGAGCTTCCTCGAGGGCTTCCATGACGAGAGCACCCAGGTGAGCCGTCAGCAGGCCAGCTCAAGCCGGGCTGTGAGTCATGCCTGGGAGTGGCACCACCGCCGTCCATCCTGCTCTGAAACCCTCCCCTCCGCCTGCCGGCCTCAGGGCCCTGCCCCCACCCCTGCTAATGCTGCATTGATGGCATGGACAGACAGATAAGTGCTGTGGGGGTGACAGGCATGGCCTGCCTTCCTCCCACACGCTCGTACCTACGGGAGGGACGTGCGAGAATGGTCTGTGATGGTGTCACCGAAAGCAGGCTAAGCGGTCTGACTTTGTGTTCCTATTTCTCTTTGGATGGTTAGTACATTGATTTGGTTCAAAATTGAAAAGGTATAAAAGAATATTTATAGTGGAAATTCTCTTTCCTGTCACTTTCCTGGCCTCCAGTTCTGGAGATCACTAATGCTATTTATTGGCTTCTCGGGAATACTATGAGAGGGATGTTAGGAATATACCAGCAAGTATACACATACCGCTATACATGTAAACACATAAGTATACACACACCTCTATACATGTAAACACATTAGTATGCAACCAGTTATTACTCTTTGTGGTTCTTATGGTCTATAAAGTCACCCCAAACATTGAATTAGCAAGTACTAAACCATAGCTATCAGGAGAAACATAAAGTTGTTTAGCAAACAGTAGCTGTGTGGTGGTGGTGTTTTAATTTAACTGGCCTGCTTTCTTTGCCTCCTGGGTTCACAATATAGTTCAAAGCTTTTATAAGAATATTTGTTTAGTATTCTGCAGTTTGGGAATGTATTTTAAATTAATTTGTATTTTAGAGAGAGAGGGAGAGAGAGGGAAACATCGATGTGAGAGAGAAATATTAATCGGTGCCTCCAGCACGCACCCTGACCTTTTGATGCACAGAATGACATTCAACCAACTGAGCCACACCAGCCAGGGCGGGAACTTATTTTAGATTGTCTATTTGAGCTCCTTGCCCTAGGCTCAGCTTACCACCATGGGTGGTACGTGATCCCAGTTTACGTCTGGCCCCTATCTGGATGGCGTCAGTGCAGGAGGGCTGCGGGTAGGGGCTGGGAGGAGTTGGACTTGAGCCAGAGCTCCCAGGCAGCACAGCACACCAGGCAGTGAGGAACACTTCCCGGCAGCCAGCTGCCTGGGCTGGGAGAACGTGTGAGAGTCCCTGGGGGGTGGCCATGCTGATGTTGATGATGATGACAGCTGTGGTGTCTTGAACAGAATACACAATAGGTTTTTTCCATTTGTTGTCATATTGACTCTTCCATTAACCCTATGAGCTATTATGCCCATTTTATAGATGAGGAAACACACTCAGAGAAGTGAAATGACTTGTCCAGGGTCACCCAGCTGGGAAGTGAGGTGACAATCTACCTCCAAGGCAGCTGCTTGACTCCAGAGCTCACAAGAACCCCCTCACACCCCTCCCTCACTGACAGGGTGAATGGCTCTGGCTGCACTGCCCCGCCAAGGGTTAGAGCCCTGGGCCGCCTCCTGCTTTGAAAACAGCCAGCCCACTGCTCCTCTGCCATCGACCCACGTGCTTATTGACAGACGGTTCCAGCTACACATGTTGCCTTTTTAAGCTGTGAGCTCCTTGAGGCACTGAGGCCTGGAGTCCTGATGGGTCTCAGGACCCTCAGGCAGGGCAGCATCCCCCAGCCTGGCTGGGGTTGCCAAACAGTACAGAGGCCACTGCTTCCTGAGTGGTCTTAGTACTCAGCACTGCCAGCACCCCCTGTGACCTTCGTGTGTTCTACAGCCACCCCCAACCTAGGAAAGCTGGTCTCCGCTTCCGGGGCCTTCAGCACCCTTCCTCTCCCAGGCCCTCTCTTGGTTCCTTACTGTCCCACAGGAAGCCCTCTTTTTCCTGGTCCTGTCTGTCTCCCGCAGGTGCAGCTGCAGCTGCTGACAGCCATAGTGAAACTCTTTCTGAAGAAGCCAACAGAGACCCAGGAGCTGGTGCAGCAGGTGCTCAGCTTGGCCACTCAGGTGGGTGCCCGCCTCCCCGCTTCCGTCCAAGCAGCCAGACCTGGGTGGTCCTGCCCCTAAGACTGGCCCCGCTGTGGGTTTGGCTCAGTCACTGACAGATCAGATGGAACGGAGCCAGGTAGTGAAGTTGGGAGACTGTGAATGAGAGGAGAGGGAAGTCATGAGAACCAGAGGGTTTATATGCAGGCAGGGGGGTCAGACTGCCGTGGAGGGGAATGGGAGATGGAGATAGTGGGTGTGTTTTTGGGATTTAGTAGGGAAGTGGGGGGCAGGGTGCTGGGCCTGTCCATTTAAACTTCCCCTTCCCCTCACCCGGCTGCCGTGCTGAGTTTCACAAGCATCTCCTCGCTTCCCAGGACTCAGACAACCCCGACCTGCGGGACCGGGGCTACATCTACTGGCGCCTGCTCTCCACGGACCCAGTGGCTGCCAAGGAGGTGGTGCTGGCCGAGAAGCCGCTCATCTCCGAGGAGACGGACCTCATCGAGCCCACGCTGCTGGACGAGCTCATCTGCCACATCGGCACGCTGGCTTCCGTCTACCACAAGCCGCCCAGCGCCTTTGTGGAGGGTGGCCGGGGCGTGGTGCACAAGAGCCTGCCGCCCCGCACCGCCTCGTGAGTGGAGGGGCCAGCTGCCGGGCGGGCCTCCCCGGGCCTCTCAGTGCAGTGGAGTGGTGGAAATACCACTCATCCCCATGAAGCGCATCTCTTGCACCAGGCATGGGGATGGGAGGAAGAGGGGGCATGAAGACAGCCCCTAAGGGACAGTGAGGAGAACCAGGGCCTGTCCTGGGGGGAGATCCTAGAGACCGGGGACTCTGACCGCCCTGAGACGGTCTGCCCTCAGCCCTTCTGATCCTCTCCCTCCTGTGTCCCCGAAGGAACGAGAGCACAGAGAGCCCTGAGACCGCCCCTGCTGGAGCGCCCTCTGGTGAGCAGCCGGATGTCATTCCCTCCCAGGGGGACCTGCTGGGTGACCTCCTCAACCTGGACCTCGGCCCCCCAGTGAGCGGCCCACCCCTGGCCACCTCCTCGGTGCAGATGGGAGCTGTGGACCTTCTCGGTGGCGGCCTTGACAGCCTGGTATGTCCTGGGGACCCCCCTCGATGCCATTGGTAAAGATCTTCAGAGGAGCAATCATTGAATGCCCTGGGTGCCAGGCACCGCTGCCCATGAAGGTGATCGTGTAGCTCCCTACGTATAGGTGAGGAAACTGAGGCTCAAAGAGGTCAAAGACTTGCCCTCCGAGAGAGCACGGCCACTAAATGGCAGGCACAGGCTTGGCCCCTTGTCCTGCCGCTGAGCCCCGAGAGACTTGGGGCAGGCTAGGCCAGTCCTAGTCCCTGCCCCCGAGTCTGACTCCGCAGGCACCCTGGCCCTGTAAGGCTGCAGAAGCCAGATCCGTGTCCATGTACCCCCAAACCCTGCACAGCTGGGGCAGCAGCCCAGCGTGCCTGCCTGTTAGAGGTCAGGGACAGTTTTCCTCCCTTGTAGGAAGGTGGAGTGAGACTGGCCCGGGTATCTCTCTGGAACTTCTTCAGGCAGCTGGTAGAGACAGGTAGAGCGGGCAGCAGAACCTGTGTCACTTAGTCATGCCAGCTCACATTACGAGGCTGCGGCACAGGGAGTGGGTGGGAGGGTAAGACCAGGGGCAGTGCTCACCGTAGAAACGGTCTAGGCCCTCCTAGTCCCGGCACAGCCTTGCACCAGACTCCATCGTGGATGGGGCAGCAGTAACTAATCTTTTCTCTCTTTCCTTCTTCCTCCCCCCCCCCCCCCCCCCGTCTTCCCCCACCCCCCTTCACCTTGTCTCTCTGTGTGTCTTCCCTCCTGGCTTCTCTCTCTGCATGTGGCTGCCTGTCTCTTCACCCTCCTGCTTCTGCTTGGAGATGGGGGATGAGCCTGAAGGGGTACGATTCAACCCTGCGTCAGCAAGCCTTCGTCCCTGCTCCTCCTGAGCGCGCTGCCTCACGTCCCAGGGGGCAGATGATGTCAGAGCAGGCCCTCCCTGCTGAGCCCTGGTCTGTCCAGCATCCTGGCAGCCTCTGTGCTGGCAGCCCCGCTGCCACTGGGCCCCGAAGTCCATCAATTCCTCATCCCGTCCTCACTGCCCAGTGACAGATGTGCCTGGTCATCCTGAGGCTCGCTGGCCCTCTGTCCCCGCGGGCCCTCTGATACCTTGGAGGGCACACTCTGTCTCCTCAGCACAGCCCTCTCACGGCAATGCCTCCGGGCCCCTTTATCGGTGGACTGAGGTTAGCTTACAAGTGTCCCCAGCTTTCCTAGAGGCCCCCCCTAAGGCTTGAGATTTGTAGGGCACAGACCCTCTTCTCCACCCTCCTCACTCTTGTTTCTGCAACTTAAGAGTTGATGTCACAGAAGCCTTGTGAGACCCCTCCTGCCCGCCCACCTAAAGAGCCAGGTGGCTACACGCATCTCAGGCCCTTGGGGACCCTGCCTCCGGCGCCTGCCACTGACCCCTTCTCTTCCCTTTCCAGATCGGGGCCCCCAACTTCGTGACACCTCCAGCAGCGACAGTACCAGCTAACCTCGGCGCACCCATGGGCAGTGGCCTGAGTGACCTCTTTGACCTGACCAGTGGCGTGGGTGCCCTGTCAGGATCCTATGTGGCCCCCAAAACAGTGAGTACCACGCCTCCTCTCGTGGCTGCTGTGCGGGCTCCTTAAACGGCTCGTTCCCCGGGATCTGCTCAGGCCAGCGGGCGGGCTCCAGGAGCCACCGTTTGCCAGGACAATGCCCAGGGCAGCTGGGGGCTGTGGGAGCACAGGGGAGAGATGCTGAGTCAGGCATGGGGGTGGCTGGGAAAGGCATCCCAGAGGGAAGCTGGCACTCAGGGCTGCCGATCAAGTCTGAGTTAGCCAGGCAGAGTGGGCAAAGGGCCCCAGCCTGCACAAGGCCTGGAGGTGAGGGAAAGCTGGCATCTTCCAGGGAAGTAGCTTCTCGGTGCGGTCCAGCCCAGTGCCTCTTGTTGATAATAGACATTTTTTCAAAATATATTTTATTGTTTCTTTTACAGAGAGGAAGGGAGAGGGATAGAGAGCTAGAAACATCAGTAGAAAGAGAAACATCAACCAGCTGCCTCCTGCACACCCCCTACCGGGGATGTGCCTGCAACCAAGGTACATGCCCTTGACCGGAATCGAACCTGGGACCTTTCAGTCTGCAGGCCGATGCTCTATCCACTGAGCCAAACCGGTTTTGGCAATAATAGACATTTTATAATGCCCCCTTCCTCTCCTATCCTTAAATGAGATCTGTGGACTGTGCACCTACCAACACCTGTAATTTTAAAAATAATAAGCCCAGGTTGAGCGTCAACCCATGAACCAAGAGGTCCCTGGCATAGGGTGAGGGTGGCTGAAGGTTACTGCTGAGTGGCTCTAGAGAGTCGGCAATAGCGATGATGGGATGTTTGCTCACAGGACATGTTGACGGGAGGCTGTCCAGAGGGCCTGACCCTTTGCCCTTGCGGAGCCATCTGAGTGAGAATGACGGCCTGAGAGGACTTCCTGTCCACGGGGTGACACCGGCCGATGGGCAGGGCTTTGGTTCAAGCTCTTTGCTCAGCAGACGCTCCCTGAATGCCACTGGGGAAGGAGCCAGTGGACGGGCTTCTCTGGAGAGGCGGCTCCTAAGCTGGGCCGGGATAACAAGGGCAGCCAAACAGCAGGGGCCTGCCAGGCAGCGGCCCTCAGGGACTGTCCCCAGACCAGTTTCCGCAACTGAAGGCCAGGCCTGCTTCTGGAGAGGACAGGCTGTGACGGCCAGGGCGGCCTGCGGCCCTGGCGGAGACCCAGGGTGGCCTTGGGCTCCGGGCCTCCGTTCTCCTTGGCTCCTTGTAGGCTGTCCTCCCTCCTTCCTGAGTGTTCCTTCTTTGGCCGCTGAGTATCTGGGTCAGCCTTTGGGCACTTCCCTACCCCGAGCTGCCCCAGCGGCGGTGGCCTGGGTGGCATGCAGGATGGTTCTCTGCTCCGTGACACATTGTCATCCCCGGCGGTAAAGGCAGGAGCACCTGCGGGGGAGAGAGGAGGACTCTCAGGGAGGCTGTGGAGCTTTGGGAAAATGGCAGACTGCAGCCCCTCCCCACCATCTTCCTGCAGATCTGGCTCCCCGCCATGAAAGCCAAGGGGCTGGAGATCTTGGGCACCTTCACCCGCCAGGTGGGCTCCATCTCCATGGACCTGCAGCTGACCAACAAGGCCCTGCAGGTCATGACCGACTTCGCCATCCAGTTCAACCGCAACAGGTGAGCTCCCCGGCCGGCTCCCCGGCCGGCTCCGGGCGCCCGGCGGGAGGAGCCGAGGGTCCTTTCTTCTGAAGGATGGTGTTCCTCCCACCACACTCAGACCAACACTGTCTGATTCACCCCTTGTGACCGCTTCACGTGGACTTCAAAGCACTGGGCCCAGGGGCAGGGTTTCTGCCCTTTGACTGCCCTCCTCCCTGCCCACAGAGGTGCTTCACTGACAGGTCCCAGCTCCAGCCTTTGGCCGGCACCCACCTGACAGGAGCGTGGAGCCTCCTTCCCGTCCCTGAACTGCTCCAGCTCTGAGAGGGCGGATGGGGAGTGGCGGCTGCTCCAGCCCCTCATCCCAGCAGGTCCCTGCACTGGGAGGCGGGAGGTCTCCTGTCTGGCACCAGAGGGTCTTCAGGCCCCAGGCCAGCGAGGCCCGAGCCCTCGGGGAACTGAGCAGCCTCTCCTGATGATCCTTCTTCCTGAGCAGCTCCAGTGATGAGCAAACTGAGCCTCTAAGAAGTTGACTGAAGGGGCTGCTTCCTCAGGGAGAGCCTTCGGGCCGGCGGGGCCTGACCCTCTGTCAGACCAGGGAGGGTGGCAGCTGCCCTGCCACTTACCCTCATGTGACCCTGGAGGCCACAGAAAGACTCCAGGCCCCAAGGAGTGGTCCTGTGATCACTCGCAGCAAACCTACTGTGTGGTGAAAGCTTCCTAAGGTCTAGGCCCTGTGCTTTCAAAGTATTGTCTCCCTGGAGCCACCTGGCAGCCCAGGGGGGTCCATGTCATTCCTCTTTGAGTCGGTAATGGCACCTGGGCTCAGCAGGTCACACAGCCGCTGTGGGGAGCTCCCAGGAAGCCTGGGGTGCTGGGCCAGCACGAGGGCTGTGTCTCCGGCAGGCCGATTGCCACTGTGGGCAGAGCCACTCGCCCCGCAGGCCTGCCCCTCCCTGAGTCTCCGTGTCCCGGAAGCTGGGAGACTGAATACCCGTCGCTCTTTGTATGAGGCCTGCAATCGGTATAACGCCACCTGCTCAGCTCACGGTGCCCAGTGTCTAGGCCAGAGGACAAAGAGGAGCAGAGATGGGCTCAGGCCTGCAGCTGGCCTGGCACTCTGTCCTCCTGTCCGCCAGGCCGTTGCGGGGTGGAGGGTGAGGGTCAGAAGTTTGTCTTTCTGGCTTGGGCCTGGGCCTGGCGTGAGGCTTGCTTGCGGGAGAGGCTTCCTGCCGACCGGTGCCCAGCCTGGGGCCGGAGGAGCCCGCGTGTCAGCACCTGCTCCCGCCGCCGCGGGGCCTTCTCTCTCCACAGCTTCGGCCTGGCCCCCGCTGCTCCCCTCCAGGTCCACGCACCGCTCAGCCCCAACCAGACCGTGGAGATCTCCCTGCCTCTCAACACGGTGGGCTCCGTCATGAAGATGGAGCCTCTGAACAACCTGCAGGTGCGTCCGAGGACCAGCCCCTCATCTTCGCCCGCACACCCCCCCGGCGGAGCCTGGGGGGGAGTCTGGGCCTGTGTGTGTGTGTGTGTGTGTGTCTGGTCCTGCTCTGGGCCTGAGCAGAGGGGACAGAGGGTATGGCTCCCAGGGAAGCCTGTGAGGGGATCGGATCAGGCGTGGGCGCAGGCGTGGCCCTTCCTGGGCCTCCGAGGTGGGGCCAGGCCTCAGGGACTGACTCAGGCCCCTGTCCCCAGGTGGCTGTGAAGAACAACATTGACGTCTTCTACTTCAGCACCTTGTACCCGCTGCACATCCTCTTCGTGGAGGACGGGAAGATGGGTGAGTGGTGCGGTCACCCCGGGGTGCCTGGGATAGATGGAGGGGTCTGCCCCACAGCAGCCTCTGTGGTCACCGCTGCTCTGCGGAGCCTGCAGTGAGGGCACACTTCCCTGGGGCCGCCTGGGGCCGCCAGGGTCTTGTCAGGCCAACTGCCCACCGGGGGTTGCCGCGCGGGAGCTGTCTCACTCCTGTTCTCTAGCGCTCCCCTTGGCCTGGCCTTTGGCCTCTGGACAGTTGTGCGCTGGGCCCTCGAGGCAGGGAGCCCAGGCCATGCCTCACACCCATGCCCATCTCTGTGCCCTGGCTGGAACCCCTGAGCGACTCCCAGCTCAGCGCTGGGTGGAGCACTCAGCCCCCCTCACGTCTCCGTCACCACAGAAGTCCCGTCACACAGGCTGGCTAACGAGCGGGCTGCTCGGGCCAGAGCGGGCGGAGGCATGTGGGTGCTGGAGGCGGGAAGCGGGGCCTGTTGGGAGCAGACGGCGGCCACCCCACAGGGCGGGGTTTGCTCCGGAGGCAGGAGCTGCCCGCAGAGCTCGTGCCCTTCCTGATCCAAAGCGGACGTCTCCTGCTCCGTGTTATTGCCCGGGGCCAGTTACCAAGGTCCCACCTTGCCTCCCCTCCCAGATCGGCAGGTTTTCCTGGCCACGTGGAAGGACATTCCCAATGAGAACGAAGCCCAGTTCCAGATCAGAGACTGTCCCCTCAATGCAGGTAGGACTTCCAAGCACCCCACACCCATCCTACTGCCCCTCCCCTGCCCCCAGTCCCTCCCCTGCCCCCAGTCCCTCCCCTGCCCCCAGTCCCTCCCCTGCCTCCAGTCCCTCCCCTGCCCCCAGTCCCTCCCCTGCCCCCAGTCCCTCCCCTGCCTCCAGTCCCTTCCCTGCCCCCAGTCCCTCCCCTGCCTCCAGTCCCTTCCCTGCCCCCAGTCCCTCCCCTGCACCCAGACCCTCCCCTGCACCCAGTCCCTCCCCTGCCTCCAGTCCCTTCCCTGCCCCCAGTCCCTCTCCTGCCCCCAGGCCCTCCCCTGCACCCAGTCCCTCCCCTGCCTCCAGTCCCTCCCCTGCACCCAGTCCCTCCCCTGCCCCCAGTCCCTCCCCTGCCTCCAGTCCCTTCCCTGCCCCCAGTCCCTCTCCTGCCCCCAGTCCCTCTCCTGCCCCCAGTCCCTCTCCTGCCCCCAGTCCCTCCCCTGCCCCCAGTCCCTCCCCTGCCCCCAGTCCCTCCCCTGCACCCAGACCCTCCCCTGCACCCAGTCCCTCTCCTGCTTCCAGTCCCTCCCCTGCACCCAGTCCCTCCCCTGCACCCAGTCCCTCCCCTGCCTCCAGTCCCTTCCCTGCCCCCAGTCCCTCCCCTGCCCCCAGGCCCTCCCCTGCACCCAGTCCCTCCCCTGCCTCCAGTCCCTTCCCTGCCCCCAGTCCCTCCCCTGCCTCCAGTCCCTCCCCTGCACCCAGTCCCTCCCCTGCCTCCAGTCCCTCCCCTGCCTCCAGTCCCTTCCCTGCACCCAGTCCCTCCCCTGCACCCAGACCCTCCCCTGCACCCAGTCCCTCCCCTGCTTCCAGTCCCTCCCCTGCACCCAGTTCCTCCCCTGCACCCCATCCCTCCCCTGCACCCCGTCCCTCCCCTGCCCCCCGTCCCCCCCCTGCCCCCAGTCCCCCCCTGACTGACTGGGTGGCTTCTGACCCCAGAGGCAGTGAGCAGCAGGCTGCAGAGCAGCAACATCTTCACGGTGGCCAAGAGGACGGTGGAGGGGCAGGACATGCTCTACCAGTCCCTGAAGCTGACCAACGGCATCTGGGTGCTGGCGGAGCTGCGCATCCAGCCCGGCAACCCCAGCTTCACGGTGAGGGCCCCGCCCCCACCCTGCCACCGGGACCTCTGTCCCGGGCCTCTGCCCACCCCCAGGCCCTGGGGCAGCTCTGACGGAGGACACCAGTCCCGCTAGGCTGGAGTCCCTTTGAGGCTGGTGTGAGCGGGCATCAGGACTCTGTCCCTACAAAGGGTCTTAGAAAGCTGTCACCTCAGTCCCGTCAAGTCACCCACAGAAGACACGCGGGGTCTCGGGACAGTGAGTTGGACTAGACGGTTCTGTCAAGTTGGGCCCTGGGCGGCGGCAGTGGCCTGCCTGCGGGCCCGCCAGCGAGGATGGGGATTCCGGGCAGCTTGTCCCTCCCAGCCTTTGTCAGCCCCGTCGGGGCGTGGCTCCATGCAGTGCGTGGTTGTCCTGGACTCCGGGCTGCTGTCCAGGTCCCAGAGGGCACGGGCTTTGCTTCCCCCTGCACCCACGTCTCCGGCAGGCAGGGCCCTGCAGACACTCTCCCAGGCCCCGCTGGCAGCCCTGGCTCTGTGGTTGGGTGGAGGCTGCGGCGGTGGCTTCGGTGATGGTGATTTCCGTCTCCCTGTGTTTGGTTGCTGCATGTCCACCTTCCCTGCTGGTGCCCGTGGTGCAGGACTTGGAGGTTAGCGGATTGCTTTTCTCTCCCCCTTTCCCCTCCATCCTCCCCGGCCACACCTTGCACACCCCGCTCCTGGCTCGGCTCCAGCGCACCCCGGCTCTCCTGTCCTCCGCACTCCGCTGGTCCCCATCCAGGCTGCAGGCAGGAGAGCTAGCTGCCCTCTGCTGACACCCACTGCTTCCCAACTAGGTGGCCCCCACTGAGGAGCTGCGCACACTTCTCACAGTGTGCGCAGAGCCTTTCAGAGGAGACTGTGCCCCTTTGGGGCCATGCTGCTGGTTTCTGGTGCCGCCTGCCCGCCCCTTCCTAACTGCACCCTTCAGAGCAGCCGTTTTGGCAGGAGGGGTGGTGGCACTTGTCGCTCCTCTACCTGTGCTCTCTAGCTCCTATTGCAGTTAGAGCCGAGGCCAAGTCTCCGGCTGCCTGCTTCCTGTGCAAGAAATCAGAAAGAACCCCAGTACCCACACACCCCATCTCCCAGAGCGGGAGCCTGCTCCCCTCCCCATACCTCCCCAGGGACCTCAGCCCCCATGGCTGTGGGAGCCAGGCAGCTCTGCAGGGTGGGGGCTGGGCCTCCTCACAGCCTCCGGCTGCTGATTCACGCTGCTTGCCACAGGGCCGTGCGGCTGGCTGACAGCAGGTGTGTGGGCTGAAGTATATTTGGTGCCTACCCGGCTGGCTGCGGCGGCCGCCCCCTCTCCTTCACCACACAGCTGCCCAGCCACGCTGCTGCCACCCGGCCACGTGTGCACACCACTTCCATCGGGCCCCGCCCTGTCTGCCCTCCCCACGTGTCCCCTCCCAGCCTAGTAGGTGCCAGCCCCAGAGAGGAGCCCGGAATGAGCGTGGCCTTCTTTCCCCGCAGCTGTCCCTGAAGTGCCGAGCGCCCGAGGTGTCCCAGCACGTGTACCAGGCCTACGAGACCATCCTCAAGAACTGAGGCCCGACCAGGGCCCCCCAGCCTTCTGCCAGCCCATGGAGGAGCCCCCTGTGGGGTGACCGTCCCTCCTCCCAGGAGGGGCCTGGCAAGGCTCCTAGCCACCCACAGGGCTTCCTGGTCCTGACTGCAGGGCCCGCCTGGGTCCTCAGGGCAGGGTGGCACCCTCCTGGAGTGAAATCTCAGTTTCTCCCAGGCTTGGAGGAGCCCTCTTCCATGGCTGCTGACTTTTAGGGTCAGTGAGGAGGACACCAAAGGAGACAGAGCCAGAGCAGTCACCGAGGCTGAACAGTGAGACCAGAGTTCTCGTCTTTTCCTGGGGCCCGGGGGCAATGCAAAGTTTCCTTCTCAGGCTCCCAGCCCAGAAGCCCTGCCCCTCCGCCTCTCCTGGGTTGGTGTTAGTGACCCTCCCCCTGCCCGGGCCCTGCCAGGCTGTCCTGGTGTGCGTGGAGGGTCCCCTTGGTACCAGGAGAGCTGCTCTGTCAATCAGGGGTTCCCAGGATCTGCCCCTGCCCCCCCCCCCAACCTCGCTCCCTGCGTCCATCCAGCCGAGGCCCAGCAGCCATGCCTGTCGGCCACAGCTTCTCAAGAGCTGACCAGCATGAGGAGGCCGGGCAGAAGCTCCAGAGCCCTGCCCAGGCCCTGCCCTCTTGGCGGTTGCACACACCCCTCCCCACCACTCGCTCCCTCTCTGCCCTGAGGGCGGTCACTGCCCGTGTACATTCCTGTGTCCCCTGGGCTCCCGGAGCCGAGGGGGCTGAGGGATGGGGACATAGGCCAGCGGGGCGCCTCCTGTGCAGGGTTTCTCCTTCGTGTCTGCGCCCTCCTCCGGCCTCCCCAGTGTCTGCGTCTGACGGAGCATTAGGCTTTCCTGTTACTGCTGTTTAATAATAAAGAGTCTGCTTTTGGCAATCACGACACTTCTTTCCCTTTGCCCCAAATGTCAGCACGGAAAGCTGCCTCTATGTGGTTGAGGATGATTTTCTGAGCCCCGCAGTAACTATATATAATATATATAAATAGAGACTATATATTGTATGTTTACTCTTATTTTCAAAAAGAGAAAGTGAATAAAAATGATGACATCAAGCATGTCCCTGGCCAGTGTGTCAGGTCCTACCTGAGGCCCTTCTGGTTGGGACCCTGGGGTCCAGGGTCAGGCGCTGAGCTCTGTGCCCAGCTCTCCCCGGGCACTCAGGACTGTCCCTCCCCCTGTCCTTAAACACTGGCTGCTGGTCCTGCTGGTCCCTGGCACCGCTCACACCCTTCATTTCAACTCCCTAGCTGGCGCCGGCTGGCCCGATGCTGGCCACGAGGGCTCCCTGCCGTCAGGGGGTTCCTGGGAGTGGCTGCGCACCAGGCCTGCCTGGGCACGCCGTCCCACCTCGCAGTGCAGCTGGCCGAGTGTGGGAACTGAGCCGACAGCTGCCTGGCTGCTACCAGGGATGCTCCATGTGGCCCCGGGCCTGGTTCTGGCCAGCTTTCAGGGCAGGACTGCCAGGCCCGGGCAGGGCTTCCATGGCAAAGCTGCCCGGGGTTCTCGGGGCCTCGTGGCTGGGAGGCATTCAGCCTGCTTCCGAGGGAGAAGCAGTTGGGTCCCTCGCCTGTTCCAGCCCCCGCCACTTCCTGCACCCTGCCCACCTCTGACACATGCTGCCTTCCCAGGGGCACCTGGCCCTCCACCGCCCCACCTCTGACCCCTGGGTATTGTCAGGCTGTCCTAGAGACCCAGAGCCTAGGCCCTTGACTGCACAACCCTAACTTCTCACCTGCAAGTCCCCAGGCTCGGAAGGCCCCGGAGACATGGCTGGAGTCCCCTCTGGCTGCGGGCGAGGGCAGGTTGTGAGTCCTGGGGAGAGAGATTGTTACCCTGCCTGCCCCTGACCTGCTGCTCCTGCTGCTCTGGGGACCCAACTTCCATCCAAACACATTCTGTTTGCCCGACCCCAGCGGGGGGGGCGGAAGAGCCGAAGTGTAGGGTAGCTGTGCTCAGTGGGGGACGATGGGTAACTTGAGGCCCAGGGTGAGGAGGGGGAGTTGGTGAGAGAGGCTGGCCGGGTTGGACAGAAGGCCTTGGGCTGCCACCGGACATCATGAATTTCCTTCCTAACTCCAGCTGTGGCCGGGCCTCGGGCTGTTGTGGGCAGGACCTTACCAGGATTTTGCCCTCCCACCCACCCGGTGCCTGGCATTGTTCTATACGGTTACTGGTCCTTTTCCTCCTGCTTTGTCATGCCTCCCCGTTTTGTCACTGCTTTTTACTTTTCCTTGCTGAAATTGTTTCTTATGTAATCTTTTAATTTCTTCCTATACGTACCTGATCTTAGTTTTTGCATTTTGGTCCTATTCCATCGGGCTTTATGTTAGGGACGAGGTAGGGATCCAACTTCCTCTTTTCCCAGATGGTTACCCAGTTGTCTTCACACCAGTTACTGAATAATTCATCTTACCCCACAGATCCGAAATGCCATTTTATCATATACTCGATTTCCACATCTGAGTGTTTTTGTGGCTTCTGCTCTGTACCGCTGCATTTTTTTTTTAAATTTTTTTTTCTGGTTAATCCTCACCCAAGGATATTTTTTCCATCGATTTTTAGAGAGAGTGAAAAGGGGGAAGGGGAGGGAAAGAAAAACATCCATGTGAGAGAGACACACATCAGTTGGTATCTCCCACACATGCCTCGACTGAGGCCAGGATTGAACCTACGACCCCAGGTCTGTGCCTTTGACTGGGGACCCCTTTGGTCCTTAATCGTTTCAAGGAGCACTGGTCAGGTATTTCGTAGACAATCAATCCCTCCATTGGGCTTGTCTGATGATTTTCTCAGGGTGAGACTGGTATGCGGCGTTTTTAAGATTAAAGTGGTAGCCTCTCACCGCCCCGTTAGCCTGGGTCACGTGGCTAAGGTGGCGTTTGCAGCTTGTGCCTGAGCCGTGACTTTCTCCCCCGTCTGTGCTCTGCTCTTTGGGAGCCAGTCACTAAGTGCAGCCTACACTCGGGAGGAGCGCAGGCGGGGGCAGGGTGCGCTGCAGAAGCCATTGCTTCTGTAAGGAGAGGTGTTTCTGCACACCCTTCCTTGTTACATCGATTCTGTTCCTTTGGAGGCACACATACCCAGTTTATAATTTGGGTTTAGTCCCAAACCACTTGGTGTTGTTGCTCAAACTGCTCCAGCTTTGGCCATGGGCCTCTTCCGGGTGAACTGTGCCCTTTGATGCGCCACCATGATTTTGTTCCTTCTGCAACATCCACCAGATGCTCCAGGCTCATCTTGCATTGGTCCTGCCCCCACCCTAGAGTCAGCCCTTTCTCCAAGGAGTCGGGTTTGTGTATTAGTGAGTGCCATTTGAAACCAAGATCTGGCCCTCGCCGGTTTGGCTCGGCGGAGAGGGTGTTGGCCTGCGGACCGGAGTGTCCCGGGTTTGATTCCGGTCAAGGACACATACCTTGGTTGCAGGCTCCTTCCTGGTCAGGGCTCATGCAGGAGGCAATCGATTCATGTGTTTCTCTCACATCGATGTTTCTCTCTGTCTCTCCCTCTCTCTCCCACTCCCTGTAAAATATCAATGGGAAAATATCCTCAGATGAGGATTAACAAACAACAACAACAAAATCTGGGTGCCTGGCGTGGTTGTGCTCCTGGGGTGGCACCGCTGGGCGGCCAGGAGATGTCTGTGTACATCCTTACCCAAGTCTCCACTGTGTGTTGTGACTACCCTGTTTCCCCGAAAATAAGACAGTGTCTTAATTTTTCCTCCCAAAGTTGCGCTAGGTCTTATTTTCAGGGGATGTCTTACCTTTCCATGTGCTAGGTCTTATTTTCGGGGAAGCACGGTAGTAGTTATTTTTATATAAAGAGGAAGCTGATTTACGTGTACAAATTCTGCCCCCTCCAGCCTTCCTAAATGGTCTTGTTTTTCTCTTTGTATCGTCTCATGTCAACCCACCACAATCCTATGAAGTTAAGACCATTATTGTCCCCTTTACAGAGAAGGAAACTGAGGCTTGGAGAGTGTCAGTAACTTGCACAGACGATACATCCCTGGAGGAGCTTTTAAACGCTGGTGGTCTTGCCGGGACCGGTTTGGCTCAATGGATAGAGCGTCGGCTTGGGGACTGAAAGGTCCCGGGTTCGATTCCGGTCAAGGGCATGTACCCTGGTTGCGGGCATATCTCCAGTAGGGGGTGTGCAAGAGGCAGCTGATCGATGACTCTCTCTCATCGATGTTTCTGACTCTCTATCTCTCTCCCTTCCTCTCTGTACAAAATCAATAAAATATATTTAAAAAATAAATAAATAAATAAATAAATAAAAAACAAACGCTGGTGGTCTTGTTGTGCCCAGCCCCACCCTGCCCCCTCACCCCGCCCTGCCCTCTCGCCCCGCCTGCCCCCTCACCCCGCCCTGCCCTCTCAGTCTCACTTCAGAGGCCCAGAAGCCCTGTCTGTGCTGCCCCCAGTGTCCTGCTGGCCTCCAGGAGGCTGGCGAGCCATACTCAGTGGCCAGGGCTTTGCCATGGGGTTCCAGGACCCACTAGGTGCCAGGCATCTGTGTGGTGAGGGCACCCTCTCACTCAAGGCCCCAAGATGAGGCACTGGGGGACAAGCGGTATGGAGCTGTCATTCATGGTCAGGAGAGACCACAACGAAGGGTCAGTGAAGTGGATTCCAGAGCAAGAAGCCCAGCCAGCTGGATGCAGTTCTCAGAAAGCCAGGCCCAGCAGCCCAAGGTCCAATGCCCTGGACCTGAAGGCCTGGGACAGTGGCCACAGGTGGCCACACGTCGGCTCTGAGCTCCTGGACGGCGGCGGAGAGTGAAAACAGACCCCGGTCCCTCACCCAGGCGGAGGGCAAGAACACACTAGAGCTGGGAGGAACACCCCTGGCTGCCGCCCTCTGCTCCTGAGGAGGTGCCCTCCCACTTCCGGGCTGGCTCCTCCTCCTTCTCCTCTCCTTTTCCCACGCTGAGGTGTGCATGTCTGTATTCTTACAGCTCCTGGACCTTCAATGAAAAGGCCATAGTGTGTTGGCAGTGAGGGTATTTTTCCCATTGATTTTTAGGGAGAGTGAAAGGGCTAGAGAGGGAGGGAGGGAAAGAAACATCTAGGTGAGAGACACATCAATAGATTGCCTCCTGCATGAGTCCCCATGGGGTGAACCTGCAACCCCAGTAACGTGCCCTTGACCAGGAATGGAACCCGCAACCCTTCAGTGCATGGCCGATGCTCTAACCACTGAGCTACCGGCCAGACCATAACGTAGGGCTTTCCTCTCTCTTTTTAAAACCCATCTCAGCATCCTGGCAAGCGGTAAGTGAACCCCTTGGTCAGTGCGGAGGCAGGAAGGTCTGCATTTCGCCCAGGGCCTGGGCATCCATCTGGTCAGGGATGGGGACGCCCCCTCTGCAGGAAGGAGGAGGCCGAGGAGAGGGGAGCTGGCACACCCAGACTTCTCCAGCCTGGGGGGAAGGAAGGAACTTCTCACCAGCTCCGGGGAGGAGGGGGGAAGGTCTTGGGTTTTGAGGGACACAGGTGGAGACCAGGCGGAAAACGGGGCCTCAGCAGTGGCCGAGGCGGTGGCAGCCAGTTTCCAGTCCGCAGACCGCGTCTGGATGGGATGGGGCTTAGCTGCTGGGACCTGGCGCTCCCGGGCTCAGCGCCCTCTGCCCGCCCCTCTCCTCCGTGGGCAGAAGGTGGGAAGGCTGGGGAGGGGTCAGCCACTGCCCCCCAACCGCAGAGGGCCCCGGTGCGGGGTCGGTGCGGGGCTCACTTACGTAATAAATCAGCAAAGGGCCCGGCCTCTCGCAGGTCCGGAGGTGATGGATGCGGAGCGGAGCCGGCGCCGGGCGTGACTCGCCCAAGGTCACCCGGCTGGACCCGGCCCGGCGGCGCTGTCTGGAGCGGCGCGGGGCGCGGGGCGCGGGGCGCGGGGCGCGGGGCGCGGGGCGCGGGGCGCGGGGCGCGGGGCGCGGGGCGCGGGGCGCGGGGCGCGGGGCGCGGCCGCGGGCGGGAAGGGCTTGTCTGGAGCCGGAGAGCAGCGGGGCGGGGTGCTCCCTCCTCGGGCTCCCTGCGCCCCATCACCTTCCCGCGCCCCTTCCCGGGAGAGGCGCCGGAGCAGGGGAGGCGGGAGGGGCGGTTACCTCATCGGCTCGCTCCGCCGCCGGGAGGCGGCCGCTCCGGTGCCGGTGCCGGTGCCGGGGAGAGGACGGTGCCGGGGAGAGAGGACGGTGCAGGGGAGAGGACGGTGCCGGTGCCTGTGCCGGTGCCGGGGAGAGGACGGTGCCGGGGAGAGGACGGTGCCGGTGCCGGTGCCGGGGAGAGAGGACGGTGCCGGGGAGAGGACGGTGCCGGTGCCGGTGCCGGTGCCGGTGCCGGTGCCGGGGAGAAGGACGGGGAGCGAGCGAGGCGCCCGGAGGCAGCTCCGCGGCGGGACCTGGCGGAGGCTCCGGGCTCCGTGCTCCGCGCCCCGGCCGCGGCGGGGGAGGCGGTGTCTGCGCGGCGCGGCGGGTCCCGCTCCCCGATCGGCGCCGCCCGCCGCCCGGCTGCGTCCGCCTCGCGCCGCCGCGCTCCGGCCCGGCCTCCCCCGGGCGCGGGGGGCGGGCGCGGCGCCGGCCATGGGGGGCAGCCTGCGGGTGGCCGTGCTGGGGGCCCCGGGCGTGGGCAAGACGGCCATCATCCGCCAGTTCCTGTTCGGGGACTACCCCGAGCGCCACCAGCCCACGGGCGCGCCTCGCCTCTACCGGCCCGCGGTGCTGCTCGACGGCGCCGTCTACGACCTGAGCATCCGCGACGGCGACGGCGCTGAGCCCGCCCGGGGGCCCGGGGGCCCGGAGGTAGCGGCGGAGGGTGACGGGGTGTGTGGGGGATGGAGGGTGGGGGTACCAGGCTCAGTGGGGGGTCTGGCTCAGTGGGGGGTCTGGCTCAGTGGGGGGGTCTGGCTCGGTAGTGGGGGGTCTGGCTCAGTGGGGGGTCTGGCTCAGTGGGGGGGGTCTGGCTCGGTAGTGGGGGGTCTGGCTCAGGGGGGGTCTGGCTCGGTAGTGGGGGGTCTGGCTCAGGGGGGGGTCTGGCTCGGTAGTGGGGGTCTGGCTCGGTGGTGTGGAGCATGGTGTGTCCAGGGCCGTGAGCAGAGCCCCAGAGGGAGAGTTGGGGCAGACTCAGGGGTGCCCTTTCGGGGAGGGGGTGCATGTGACCTGGAGCACAGACTCAGACTCGGGTAGAAATTGGTGGCAAGTCCAGGACAGACTTTGGGCCCTCGGAGAGGGCAGAGGCCGGAGCAGACAGGCTCCCAGGAGGGAGGGTGGCCTTGGGGCGGGACCTCCAGGGGGAAAAGCGCTGCAGGCGGAGGGGGAGCAGGTGAGGCCGCGGCTGACGGGCCACAGCTGCCCGCGCCGGCCACGTGCGCGCCTCATTGGCCGGGCCGCCGGGCCGCGGGAGGGAGGCGCCTGGAGGGGGGCTGGGGGAGGCGGGCGGCCCACCAGCTTCCAGCGGGTCTGGAAAGCGTTACCCCGGTGGCCGGAGGGACAGCGGGTCAGGGCTCACTGAGGAGCCTGAGCGTGAACTGTGGGTTCGGTGCCAGGACCCCCCGCCCCCCCGCAGGAGGTCAGGGCGCAGGAGCGGGGGAAACAACGGGCCCCGCCAACCCCGGCCTCCCCCCCCAGGAGTGGCCGGACCCTAAGGACTGGAGCCTGCAGGACACGGACGCCTTCGTGCTGGTCTACGACATCTGCAGCCCCGACAGCTTCGACTACGTGAAGGCGCTGCGGCAGCGCATCGCCGAGGCCAGGTGAGGGCGCGGGGCGGGGAGGCGAGGGGAGGGAGGGGCGCGCTTCTGCCCGTGGGGCCGGCCTCTGTCCTGCATGGTGTTTGCATACTCTTTGGTGTTTGCTTGGGGGTTTCTGGCCGCAGGAGAGGGTGCTCCTGAGCGTATCCCCCTCCCCTCTGGGGGAATTCTCTCGCGTGGGGTCCCCGGCGCCGCCGCCCTCATGCCTGTCTGGCCCCCCAGGCCGGCAGGCGCCCCGGAGGCGCCCATCCTCGTGGTGGGCAACAAGCGGGACCGGCAGCGGCTGCGCTTCGGGCCGCGGCGGGCGCTGGCCGCGCTGGTGCGCAGGGGCTGGCGCTGCGGCTACCTCGAGTGCTCGGCCAAGTACAACTGGCACGTGCTGCGCCTCTTCCGCGAGCTGCTCCGCTGCGCCCTGGTGCGTGCGCGGCCCGCGCACCCCGCCCTGCGCCTGCAGGGGGCGCTGCACCCCGCGCACTGCAGCCTCATGTGACCGCGGGACCGCCAAGCCGCTGGGCTAGGGGAACCGGACCCGTTGGACTGGAGCGACCGGGGGCCTGGATTGGCTGAGCCGGCCGGACTCCTTCCGGATTGGCTGAGCCGGCCGGACTCCTTCCGGATTGGCTGAGCCGGCCGGACTCCTTCCGGATTGGATGAGCCGGCCAGACTTCTTTCGGATTGGACGGGACAGTCTCTTCCCTGATTGGACGAGGAGAGCTCCCACCCCGTTTCCCGGTGACCGGCCTTCCTTTGAACTTCATTGGGCCCAGGCGGGCCCCAAGCCTCATCACACAACGATCAGTCCTTTCTGGGGTATCTTGGAGTCACGGAACTTGACTGTGGATCTGATTGGCAGCTCGCAAACGGCTCCTGGAGCCTCATTGGACCAAGGCCTAAGCCACGCCTCCCAGGAGATTACAATAAAGAGAGAAACGGTTTCACGTGCACCTGGCCTTGCTGGAGTGGGCAGCGTCGTCTTAAGTGCAGAAACCTGAGTTGCCAGGCTGTGCCCCCCCTGAGTTAACGCCAGAATCCCAGCATGTGATGAGGGTGTGATGGCCCCAAGGACCAGACAGACAGACAGACACACGGGTCTGGAATAGAACTTTACTGTCAGGCTCTGCAGGGCCGCGGGACCTCCGGAGGGTCCTCGCCGGGCTCCTCTAAGGCATTCAATAATATTAGTAATTAAATAGCGATGCGCATCCCCCGATCGGAATGTACAACAGAGGTCCCATTGTGCCATGGAAGGAAGGGGTCTGGTCCCGTGAGGTCTGGTACCCGAGAGGGGCGGGGGGTGGGGAGTTCCCTGATGCAGAGGGGTTAAGGCCACGAAGGAAAAGGGAGAGGAGGACGGGGGGCCTGGAGGCAGTCACATCCAGGAGTCCGGCTCCACCCGGGGGCTGACGGAGTGCAGGGCACGCCAGGCCTCGGGCGCCGTGGGCTCCGACGGGCGGCGGGGGCCCCGAGGCGTGGGGATCCGTGAGGGTTTCCCGTCCGGCTGCGTGTCCATCCGGCCCCGCGCCCAGGTCCTTGGCGGCTCAGGGCCAGCCAGGCGACTCCCAGGTGCCTCTGGCTGCCCCCCCGCACCGGGGCAGGGGCTGCCTTCGTCCGAAGAGCTGGACAGGGCCGGCCCCCGGCCCCCGGGCAGCCCGTTGGCCACCCGGCCGCAGTCCCCGGGCTGGCCACACTTGCCACCCAGGACGCTGAGGGACGAGGAGGAGGAGCTGGAGGAGCAGTAGGCCGAGTCGGGGCCTGGGGCGTCAGGGGCCCGCGCCGGGTCGGGGGCCGGAGGGTCGGGGGCCGGTCCCGCGGGGGCTCCCCCGGCAGGGCCCCCGAGGGCGCGGGCGTTGGCCAGGAACTCCTCCTCCAGGCGCCGGATCAGCTGCCGCTCGTGCTGCGGGTCCAGCTGCAGGGGCGTGCGGAAGGCGCTGGCCGGCGTGGCGCCCAGCTCGGGGCTGGGGCTGGCGGCCCGGGGCGGCCGGGGGGCTGCGGGGCTGAGGGCGCGGGGCGTGCGGGGGCTGCTCCTGCCCGAGCCCCCGCCGGCCCGGCCCCGCGGCGCCCACGAGTGCTGCCCGGCCCGGTCCCTGCGCACCAGCAGCACCGCCGGCTCCTCGCGGCCCTGGCTCCGGGCCCGCCGCGCGGGGCTGGGGGTGGACAGCGGGGCTCTCGGGCCTCGCGGGGCCTCCTGGGGCCGCCCCCGCTCTAGCTGGTCCCGGGACTGGCTGCGAGGGGCGGGGGGCCGCCTCGGGGAGGCCGGGGCGCCCGTGGTCAGCCGCCGGCTGGGCCGCTCCCTCTCCCTCCGGGCGCCAGGGCCCGAGTCCTCGCTCCGGGCGCCGAGGGGGCCGCTCTGGGCCGAGGAGGCCGAGGAGTCGCTGTCCCCGGAGTAGCGTCGGGAGCGGGGGTGGGGGGGCAGCTGATCCCGGGCCCTGGGGCAGGGGAGCGAGAGAGAGGGGGCAAGAGTCATGGAAAGGGGACTGGCCGGCGGGAAGGGTGGGACAGGAAGGAAGGAGCCCGTGGGGGGGTGGGGGGGCGGGGGGGACACCTGTGGTGCTGCAGAGGGTTTGGCGGGCTCCCGTCTGACCCGGGGACTTCCAGGGAGAAGTGAGAGGCCCTGCAGCCGCTGCCCGCAGCCCGGGCTCCCCCCCGCCCCCTCCCCCGCCCCAGGGCAGCGGAAGTGGACGGGCTGGGGACCCTGGGCTCCGGCCTCCGCTTCCTGGGCCAGCCTGGGCCAGCCGGAGGGAAGCCGGGTTGGCTGAACCCGCTGCCACAGCCCCAGGGCCCGCCCGGCTGTGTTGTTGGTTTGGCTGGGTTGCCGTGGAGACGGGAAGCGAGGCCTGCCCCCACCCACGGGAACTGTTCCCAGGGTGAGTCACTGGAGCACAGGCTCCCTCCTCCTCCAGGCCTGGCGGCCGCTCCCGCCCCATCCCCACCTCCTGGGCCTCCCCCCCCACCCGCCGCTCCCGCCCCATCCCCACCTCCTGGCCTCCGGCCCGTCCGGCCTCTCACCTGAGGGCGGCCTCGGGCCCCTCCTTGGAGCTCCGTGAGCTCACGGGGGTCACCTCAGGCCGGGAGCCTCGCCGTTCACCCCCGGGGGCCGGGCTGCCGGGCCGGGGGCTGGGCGTGGGGGACACCCTCTGCGGGGAGAAGGGCTGGGTCCTCGGCGGGGGCGGGCGGTGCGCTGTGGGGGGCAGAGAGGGACACGGGGGCGTGTGAGGGGGGAGCTGCAGAGAGAGCCCCCTGCCCGCCCGTCGGCCGGGCACCTGCCTGTGGAGGAGCAGCGGCAGGGGTCGTGCTTGTCCAGGTAGTGCTCCAGCGTGTCCCAGCCGCCGCCCACGCGCACCATCACGTGGCTCCTCAGCACCTGCGGGAGCCGCGGGGTCACAGCCCGGCCCGGGGCCTGGGTGCCCAGGGGCCCAGGGGCCCGTCCTGGGCGGCTGCCCCTGCGGGCGCCCGCTCTCTTACCCGCACGAAGATGAGCAGGCTGGAGTCTCCCACCCGGTACTTGCCCTCCGAGACCTTGATCATGGGGAACTGGTCCGGGCAGGTGCAGTGGCCCAGGATCTCCCTCACCTGAGGCCAGAGGAGGGGCTGGGGTGAGGGTGACGTCCCTCCTCCGGAGCCTGACGTCAGCCACTCCGGGCCAGGAGGAAGGAAGTCCTTCCGGGGAAGTGTAGCCTCTGCACTTGACCTTTCACCCGCCCTCCTTCCCCCTGAGCTGTCAGGCGGCTAGGCGATAACTGGATGGGGGGCTGTGGCCAGGCCGGGACTGGGGACCCCAGCGAGGCACATCCCCAAAGCCGCTAAGCCTGGGGGAGCCCTGGAGCTTGGGGGGAGCCCCGGAGCCATCCTTACTCCCCCTGCACCCACGGCGCAGGCAGACACGGAGACTGAGGCCCAGAGGGAGGCCAGGGCCTAGGAGGAGGCAGGTTCAGGGCTTGGCGCCGAGGCAGGGATGCCACAGACACAGCGACATGCACACACAGGCCGCCCGCACGCACGCAGAGCGGGCATCTACGCACACGTCCCTCCAGGCCCCGCTGCCAGGCTGGCCGTGTGGGCGGCCCCGCCCGCTGCCTGCCCACAGCGGAGCTGGAGGAAATGAGCAGGTGGGGCCTCGGGGGACGGTGACCCTGGCCCAGGGCAGGGTCGGGTGGCAGCCTCGGCCCACGCCATCCGGCTGCTGCCCTCCAGGCAGGCACATCTCAGCCCCGGCCCCCTGATAAGAAGGAAACTCTGGGCCTGGCTGCGGGGGCGTCAGGGACACCCAGGCCCTGGGAGGGGCGGGAGCCGGGGGCACGGTCAGGCCCCTGCTCTGCTCAAGCATTACTAACGCTGCCGAGCAGCCCTGGGCCTGGCTCCCACACAAACGACGTGGGAGGGGCTCTGGGGAATGGGAGAGGCCCGTTGAGCCCCTGGGAGCTTCCCTGGGCACCCCTGAGTCCCTCCTGTGTGCCAGGCACCATGTCCTGGCCACGTGCCCCAGGCACCCACTTCACATGGAGCAACCTGGATGCAACTGCCTGGCACTTGGGTGAGGGCACACAGGAGGGGCTCAGACCTTGTGGCCCCTGGAGGGAGGCACACCCAGCCCTTGTCTGGTGCCTGGGGCTCAGATTATTATTATTATTTTTAAATATATTGGTTTTTCAGAGAGGAAGGGAGAGGGATAGAGAGCTAGAAACATCGATGAGAGAGAAACATCGACCAGCTGCCTCCTGCACCCCCCCCCCCCCCCCCCGGGATTTGCCTGCAACCAAGGCACGTGCCCTTGACCGGAATCCAACCTGGGACCCCTCAGTCTGTCTGCAGACTGACGCTCTAGCCACTGAGCCAAACCGGTTTGGGCTTGGGGCTCAGCTCAGGGGCCTTTACGACCTCCCCGTCTGTGGTGCGCTCACCTTGGTGCTCAGTATACACTCGGTGCTCAGCATGTGCACCTTCCCGGGGACAGGCTGCCCTGCGGAGGCCCGGGCACCGGCTGCCTGGTCCTGGCGCGGCGCAGGGTGCGGGGCGCAGGGCGGGACTCACCAGCTCGTCCAGGTTGCGCAGGTCCGTGGGCGTCATGCGGGGCCCGCGGGCGGGTGCCCCTGGCGCCGCCTCGGCAGCAGCAGCGGCAGCGGCGGTTCCGGGGGCGCCCTCCTCCCCCGCGGCCCCGGGGGCGTGGGGCGCGGAGGGCGCGGCCCGCAGCTCCTGCTCGATCTCCTGCTCGAACTGCACGAGGCGCGGGGCCAGCAGGCCGAGGCGGGCGCCGCGCCGCGCCACCTCCAGCAGGCACAGCACCACGCTCCTCTCGCTCTTGCGCAGCACCAGGTCCTCCGTCTCGAACATGAGCACCTCGGGCACCGCCAGCTCCGCGCGGCACCAGCCGATGAAGGTGGCCACGTTGTCCCGGGCCACGAAGGAGCCGGGCGCCACGCCGTGGGCCTGGAAGGCCACGCCGCGGGCGGGCCGGGCGGCGGCCAGGGCGCGGGCGGCCGCGGCGACGGCGTTGGCGTGCTGGCACAGCACGGTGCCCGTGGCCAGCCCCGCCAGGAAGCCGTCGCCCGCGCCGGGCAGGCCCAGGCCGTACAGCGCGTTGAGCCACTCGGCCAGGTCCTCCTTCATGGCCTCCACGTAGGCCTCGCTGGAGCGGAACGGCCGCACGCTCTTGGCTGCCGAGCCCGCGATGCTCGCCGCCGGGTCCGCCATGCCCGGGCCGCGGGTCACTGCGGGCGGGGCAGAGCGGGACGGCTGTGAGGGTGCCAGGGAGGACTCCACAGACCCTAAGCCCCCGACCGAGCGCCTGGATCCATCCACCTGCCACGTCAGGCCGAGCGCCTGCGAGGGCAGCCTGGCTGGGAGACATGGCTCTGGCCCTCAGTGTCCCCATCGCTGAAATGGGCACAGTCACAGCGCCGTCCTCCCCAGACCTAACGGGGTCATTTTTACAAGTGATTTTCGTGTCCATAAGTGCTTGCTGTTTGGCTCTTGGGGAGCGGGGAGCGGACCGGGGGGCCTGGCTGAGTCCTGTTTGGCTCTTGGGGGGCGGGGAGCAGACGGGGGGGGGGGGGCCCTGGCTGAGTCCTGTTTGGCTCTTGGGGGGTGGGGAGCGGACGGGGCCCCGGCTGAGTCCTGTTTGGCTCTTGGGGGGCGGGGAGCAGATGTGGGGGGCCTGGCTGAGTCCTGTTTGGCTCTTGGGGGGCAGGGAGCAGACTGGGGGGCCTGGCTGAGTCCTGTTTGGCTCTTGGGGGGTGGGGAGCGGACAGGGGGGCCTGGCTGAGTCCTGTTTGGCTCTTGGGGGGCAGGGAGCAGACTGGGGGGCCTGGCTGAGTCCTGTTTGGCTCTTGGGGGGTGGGGAGCGGACAGGGGGGCCTGGCTGAGTCCTGTTTGGCTCTTGGGGGGCGGGGAGCGGACAGGGAGGCCTGGCTGAGTCCTCCCTCCCAGGCAGGGAGCACCCGTTCCGACCGCCCAGTGACAGGGGGAGAGGGAGCCCCAGAGAGGGCCACACAGCCAGACGCACAGCGGACAGGAGGGGGGCCCAGGCCCTGGCTGGCTGGCAGGGGTTGGCCCGCGGCTGGGGGGCAGGGGGAGCTGCCGCGGGGCCGCCCTCAGCCCCCTCCCCAAGGACACAGCCAGGACCCGGCGGTCCCTGTCACTCACTGCGTGGCCAGGGCTGGTGGGGGGGGTAGTGGTCTCCATTTCACAGACAAGGAAGCTGAGGCGCAGCGAGGGCCCTCAGGGCTGCGGAGCAGGGAGCGGGAGCCCAGGCCCGGGCCCAGGGCCGATCCCAAGCGGAGACCGGGCAGCCAGCCGCGGGCCAGGCCCCGCCTCCGGAGCCTCCCCGGCGGCCGCCGGTGCCTCCCTCCGGCGGGGACTCTGGCCTCCAGACTCCGGCCCAGAGAGGGCGCGGGGCTGCCCAAGGTCACACAGCCCCATCGGCGTCCCCATCGGCGGGGCGGGGCGGGGTGCGGGTCGCTCACCTGGCTCATCCCGCGGCCTCGGGGAGCATCGCCCCGGCGGGGCGGGGGCCGGAGCCGGGCGGGCAGAGAGGTGCCGCCCGGGCCCGGGGTCCGGCCTCGGGTCCGATCCGTTCTCCGGCCTCCGGCCTCCGGTCCGATCCGGCCTCCGGTCCGATCCGGTCTCCGGTCGCCGGCCGGTCGGTCCGCTGCCCGGGAGCCTGGCCCCGCCCCCGGGATTGGGATCCGGCCGGAGGGGGCGGGCGGGGCCGCGCTCTTAAAGGGGCCGCAGCTCCGCCTTCGGGCGGCGGGGCGGGGAGGAGCCGGAGTCTCCTGACGGGCGGCCCGGCCCTCCCGCCCCGGCGAGGCGGCACCGGGGCGCTAGGAGGCCGCCCTGCCACCCGGAGGTCCCATCCTCCCCAGGCCGGTCCCCGCGGCCCCTCCCGCCCTCTGTGGTCTCCCGGGGAGGGGTTCGGGGTTCGGGGTTCAGGGTTCGGGGTTCGGGGTTCGGGGTTCGGTTCCCCGCCCCCTTAGTGTTCTCCCTGGAGAAGGCCGCGGGCCTGAGGCTGAGACGGACTCCGGAAGCGATAGAGCCGGCGCTGCCGAGTCACCTCCGGCTGGAATGGGCCCCCGGCCCGATAAGGAGCCCCCCCCCAGGGGTGCCAGCCGCGGGGGTGGGGGGCGGCGCCGCAGTGCCCGCCCCGGGTCCTGCTCCACAGCGAACGGTCGTCTTTCACCCTGAGGTTCGGGGACCCATTTCCTGGATGGGAACACTGAGGCGCGGAGGCTGGGGGGCTGATCCCAGCGGATCTGACCCTGTGAGTCCCGCCCGGGTCCCAGGCCTGGCTCCGGGGGGAGGAGGGTCCGAGGCAGCCTGGCCAGTCTCGTTGGGCCTCCGCGGTCCCAGGCCGCTGTGCCCTCCCGGAGCGGGGCCAGGAGCCTGTGCCCCGGGTGCTCCAGGCTGAGGGGGTCACCCCCCCACCCCCCATCCTGGTCCCTCCTCAAACTGCAGCGGCGGGGCCTGGCCTGGCTGGATCCTGGGGAGTCCTGCCCCCCCTGCGGCCGGCTGGGCGGACGGCCCGGCTGAGGAGCAGCCTGGGGGCGGGGGAGCACTGTCGGCAATAGCCCAGACTTGGAGCTTTAGCAAAGCTCCTACTGTGTGCCAGACCACTCCGTGCCCTTGACCTGAAGCCACCTCCACGAGCAACACTTTTATGCCCAAACTGGAGCTCAGTCCGCAGGGCAGATGGAGCTGGCGGCCCGAACCTGACTATAATTAGGGGATTGCCCTCATTCCAGGATCAGGGCTTTTTTTTTCTTTCTTTTTTTTCTTTTTTTGTGCCTACTGTGTGCCAGACTTCCTGGTGCCAGGCCGCTCACATGCATCATCTCGCCAGGCCCTCATGGCCTTGCAAAAAGTGGGCTGTGCTCAGCCCCACGCAGGCCTGCCCTTCCCTCCAGGGCCCTCCCCCACGGCAGAGGGAGACGGGCCCACGGCTAGCAATAGGAATGGCCGCACCCAGGTGTCACCGGCTGTGTGCCGAGTCTTAGCACCGGAGCAAAAAGCAGGAGCTGCTGGGGAGGCAGGTGGGGGCCGGGTGACGGGGAGCAGGAGTGCACTGGGGGGCGAGGGGGTGGAGGGAGGGATGAGGATGGAGACGGTGGAGGCAAATGAAGCAGCCGTGGGCTGTGCCTCTTTTGAGGGGTTCAGAGCAGAGGAGGTGCAACCTGACTGGTCTGAACAGGTTCCCGGTGGTGGCAGCTGTGCTGGGCGGGCAGGAGCCCTGGGCTGGGCTGGCTCCTGGCTGTGTTGTGAGGGCAGAGCTGGCAGGAGGAGCGGAGTGAGACGTGAGGACAGTCAGGAGCACCGCCGGGCGAGGGGCCGCTGGCACGTGGGGCAGAGGCGTGGGAACCGGGGGAGATGGGGTGTGGATACGGAGGAATTTAACCCTGGGAGTGCTCCCGTTCGCCCGTGTCCTCGTTTTACACTTTAAGGGAACTGAGGCCCAGAGGGTGTGGTCAGCTGCTGGGCAGTGTGACTCCTGCAGGGCCGGACGGAGGAGAGGTCAGGTGACCCCTCAGCCTGGAGCACCCGGGGCACAGGCTCCCTGCCCGGCTTGGGGCGGGGACAGCGGCCTGGACCGCGGGCCCATCCGCACCGTGGACCTCGGGTCCGACTGCAGCGGGCGTGGCGCTGACGTGTGGCCAGACCTGGGGCCCGGGCCACGGAGGTTCTTGACTTTGACCCCGTCTGTGTGTGGCAGCCGCGTCCGTTCCTCCAGGGGCGGGGAGGGGCGGGAGGGGCGGGCTCGGGTGCAGGTGCTGGGCCCGGGGGCATGTGGCCAAAACGTTTGCCCCGCCGCTGGGGCCAGGGAGCAGCCTGCTGGCAGCTGGGGGTCAGGTGACGGCCACGCAGAGCCCAGGTCCTCGCGGTGCCCGGCAGCTGGGCTGAGCTGTGAGCACAGCCGGGGGGCGGCAGGGGACTTGAGGGTGCTCTGCCCAAATGTGGGTCACCATGGCCGCTCTCCGCCCCGTCTGTGGACAACGGCCCGCTTCCAGAGAAAGCCCTGGGGCACCTGCCTCCTGCCCCTCTGCCCTCCTGCCCCTCCTGCCCCTCCTGCCCCTCTGCCCCTCCTGCCCTTCTGCTCCTCTGCCCCTCCTGCCCTCCTGCCCCTCTGCCCCTCCTGCTCCTCTGCCCCTCCTGCCCCTCTGCCCCTCCTGACTCTCTGCCCCTCCTGCCCCTCTGCCCCTCCTGACTCTCTGCCCCTCTGCCCCTCCTGCCCCTCCTGCCCCTCCTGCCCCTCCTGCCCCTCTGCCCCTCCTGCCCCTCCTGCCCCTCCTGCCCCTCTGCCCCTCCTGACTCTCTGCCCCTCCTGCCCCTCCTGCCCCTCCTGCCCTCCTGCCCCTCCAGCTGCTCCGGGAAAGGGTCTGCCCGGCGGCTGGGTGTGGGGTCCTTACTCCGTGCAGGGAAGAGTCCAGGGGCTTCAGAGGGCGGGTATTAAAGCTGGGCCCGCGGACGGGCAAGGGCCTGGGACAGAGAGGAGCGGGACGGGGGGGGGGGGGGCTGTGTGAGGGGGGATGAGCCCGGGGGGCTGCTTTGGCTCCTAAGGAGCAGAGGAAAGGGGGCCTGGGGCAGGATGGGGGGTCTGGGGCGAGCTGCTGCTGCCCACTGCTCTGTGGGGCCCCGAGTGGGGAGATGCTGGAGGAGAGAGGTGGGAGCTGGCAGGCTCGGGCGGGGAGGGTTTGAAAGGCTGATGGTCAGGGGAGGTCTCAGCGGGAAGATCAATAGAACATTCACCCGCTTTATGCTGATGTGCCAGAATGAGATCTGTTTGTTCTCTTAACGTCAGCCGTCCTCGGCGTCTGCGGCTCCTGAGGGATGTAAGCCATTGACCCTCTGCGTGGCGAGAAGTACAAACCTTCTACTACTTAAAAATTTAAAAAAAATCTTTATTGTTGAAAGTATTACATATGTGTCTCCCCCCCCCTTATAGCCCGCCCCCACTCCAGGCCTGCACCCCCTATTGTCCGTGTCCATGGGTTACACACATGTGCATACATGTGTTTGGCTGATCACTTCCCACCAGCCTCTCCTCTGAGGTCCCGCAGTCTGCTCCATGCTTCCATGTCTCTGGATCTCTTTTGCTCATCAGTTTATTTTGTTCATCA